ACACCAGAGCTGAAATACACTAGAATATTTTCTTATGTATATTTTGAAACTTTTTGACTTTAGGTTTACACGCACTTTTGAGTTGCCAGTAATATATGTAGAATACTTGTGTTAGGGCTATTTTGTTCCGAGGCTCTTCAAATGCTTCTAGAGCTAGGCTCTATGTGGTCCACTCAGGATGCATGTCACCCATCAGGCTCTCACGACTTGTATTTCCATCGTGGTGGGGATCTTTCCGTGTGGTCCTTTCATGTATCTAAGGGAGGGAGATGGTAGTTTTGCTCAAACTATCGCCAAACATAAAAGCTCGCTGTAATTAAAAAAATTAAACACCACTCTCATACACTACAAAACTTCATTATTACTTCTATATACTATTCGTAGATCAAACATACACTGACCATCACGAGATACAGTACCACTATCACAACACAGTAGGGTGAGAGTAGCCGACTATCCTCATTTTTTATCCTGGTGGCCACTCATTGCCTTGCTAGCTCCGCAGTGGCTAATTAAATTGAGGTTTCTCTTATTTGGATTTACCTTGAGACTGTTGTCTTAGTACAGTGAAGGCTCTTGTGCTGTGTTTGCTTAATGGTGTAGTACTCGCCTAGTTGTGCTTGCGGGGGTTGAGCTCTCGCTCTTTGGTCTCGCCTCTCGACTGTCAATCAACTGTTGTACAGGTTCTTGAGCCTATTGGGTTCTTTCATATCTACATTTACATAGCTATAACTATGTAACTGCAACAACTGTACAGTTAACAATTGATTTTCTTGATGCTGCCTGACAAAGGGTGACAGCCCCAGAGATATCCTTTGTGATGCAGTTTGGTGTTGCCTTCAATGTGCCTTGGCTCCTCTCAAGATGTTCCACTCCTATGATTTTCAAGTACCAAGCCCTTTTTCTTAGTACTGTTTGATGGTTGTGTCTGTTTCTGGCCCAGTTTTGTGCCCATGCCCAGTTTCCTGCAAGTTGCTATCAATACTATAATGGGGTATCATTAGAAACAGTGTGGGGTATTTTTCACTGGTGATGATAACCCTGGTGGCAGTGTGTCGAGTTGTAGCAATGTACTCGTTAATATGTACCTACGTGACAAGGGTTCAGCTTCTGGGCTTCACCTTTTAACCATTGGTTGGCTATTGCAGTGGTCTAGCTCCCTCAACCTTTCCCTGTATCTCGGTCCTCTTAAGTTCAGAAACCAGTCTTGGGAAAAGTCCAGGTTGTTGAGTATGATGTGTTGCACCAATGGAATTAATCATTGTCAATGGGTAGTTAATTAAGCAGCAAGGGATCATTTTGACTGGAAAGTGATGTGCTACAGAATCTTACTTTTAATATATTTTAAATATGATCCTTATCCAATGTTGATGTGTGTATAGGGATACATGACTATTTTTGTCACAGATGATTATTTAAGGGGGGGGGGGGGGGAAAGCTCTTGAAACATGGTGTAAATTAAGAAGCAAATAAAAGAATTTAGGGTCTTCTTGGGCTGTTTTAAAGAGATAGCATGCTGTGTTTAATGTTGCTCAGTGGTGCCAAAAATGTCATAATTGGTGTAAAGTGTCCAGCAGTCATCTACTAGAACAAAAAACAGCAAATCATTAAGTGAGTATAATTAGTACAGTATATAGAAAAGACTGTTTTTCTCAAGCACTGTAGGTACTTCCCAAGACGGGCTAAAGATACTTCTGTTTACATTGAAGAAACTCTGCACATCTCAGAGGATTGAGCCTATACAATAATATATCAAGTTGTAAGATATGCCATAAGTTGTCAGTATTGTCTTACATTAAAGAAATAACAAATGCCATTAAAGATCTGAATGTGGAATAGAGAACAAAAATGTATTGAGAGTACATGCCATAATTTCCCTGCTTGATTAAGGTAAGAAAATAAAGCATGGAGAGTTTACACACAAACGTATCCAGGTGCCCAGACAACCGAGAGACGTATAACATTAACCTCCCTGCTGTGTACTGAAGGTAGGGACTGGCTGGTCTTTATCGTCTTCCCCTTAGCATTCCAACACCAGTATTCAACTGCCTAACATTTCTGATAGATTTGATTCCTGTTGTTGATCACTTTCTTTTTCAATTAAATTAAGGCAATATACAGTGGCTGTGTTGGAATTGATCGATAAGTCGTTGGTTTCTGTATGTTAAGTAAAATTATTAATATGTTGTCTATCTAGATGTCACTTAATGGACATTACATTTTATTTAAAATGGCAGCAGAGTACACAGGTACTAGTGTATGATCACTTATAGCCGTACGAACAGGTGTGCGTGACGAGTTGTGGCAGTGTATGCTGATATAAGAAGAATTGTAGTAGTGGGTATTGGTGTATGACAAGTTGTACCAGTATATGTTGGTGTATAAAAGTTGTAGATGGGTACAGATTTTGGAAATTTGCCCAGTACAAAATATGTATTTAAAATGTTTTTAGTAGTGCCTACAGACGTTTGTCAAGTTATAGTAACATCATTACCTAACCTCAGAACTTTACATTTATCAGCATTAAACTGCATCTGCCAATCCTTTGACCATTTCAAAACCCTATCTAGATCAACTTGAAGTGATAGTGAGTCCTCCTCCGAATTAATTTCCCTACCGATTTTCGTATCATCGGCAAATTTGCAAATGTTGCTACTCAAACCTGAATCTAAATCATTTATATATATTATAAACAACAGAGGTCCCAGGACAGAGCCTTGAGGCACTCCACTTACAACATTTTCCCACTCTGACTTGATTCCATTTATACTAACTCTCTGTTTCCTTTGGTATAGCCATGCCCTAATCCAGTTTAATATAGCACCCCCAATACCATGAGACTCTATTTTTTTAATCAGTCTTTCATGTGGCACTGTATCAAAAGCTTTGCTAAAGTCAAGGTATACAACATCGCAATCCTTACCACTATCAACTGCCTCAACAATGCTAGAATAAAAAGATAACAAATTTGTTAAACATGAACGGCCATTTATAAAACCATGTTGCGACTCAATTATTAATTTATGTTTTTCAAGATGAAGACGAATTTTATTTGCTATTATAGATTCGAGTAACTTTCCCACAATAGACGTTAGGCTAATTGGTCGATAGTTAGACGCAAGTGATCTATCTCCTTTCTTAAAAACTGGTATCACATTAGCAACTTTCCAAAACTCTGGCACTCTGCCTGACTCTATTGATTTATTAAATATGGTTGACAGTGGGTCACAAAGCTCCTCTTTGCATTCTTTAAGCACCCTGGCAAACACTTCATCCGGCCCTGGGGATTTGTTTGGTTTGAGTTTTACTATTTGTTTAAGAACATCCTCCCTGGTAACTGCTAAACTCGTCAACCTGTCCTCGTCCCCACCCACATAGACTTGCTCGGCTGAAGGCATATTGTTAAGTTCCTCTTTAGTAAATACAGATACAAAATATTTATTAAAATACTACTCATCTCTTCATCACTATCTGTTATTTGACCTGTCTCAGTTTTTAATGGACCTATCCTTTCCCTAGTCTTAGTACGATATAACTGAAAAAACCCTTTAGGATTTGTCTTTGCTTGCCCTGCTATGCGAACTTCATAGTTTCTTTTTGCTTTCCTTATCTCTTTTTTAACATTTCTAACCAGTTGTACGAATTCCTGTTCTAAAGTGACCTCCCCATTTTTAATCCTTTTGTACCAAGCTCTCTTTTTACCTATAAGGTTCTTCAAATTCTTTGTTATCCACTTTGGGTCATTAGTATTCGATCTATTCAATTTGTATGGTATACTACGTTCCTGTGCTTTGTTTAGAATATTCTTAAATAAGTTATATATTGAATCCACATCGAAATCCCCATTTAAGTCACCTATCGCTGGGTTCATGTCTCGCTCCAAGACCGGCCCACACCCCATACCCAAGACTTTCCAATCAATTTGACCCAAAAAATTTCTTAGGCTATTAAAATCAGCTTTTCGAAAATCTGGCACTTTAACAGAATTTTCTCCTACTGGTCTATTCCATTCTATGCTAAATCTGATTTCTTTGTGATCACTGCTCCCTAGCTCACTCCCTATTTCGATGTCATTAATTTGCGTTTCCCTGTTAGTTAACACTAAATCTAAAATATTATTTTCCCGTGTTGGTTCCTTAATGTGTTGCGTAAGAAAGCAATCGTCAATTAATTCTAGAAAATCTTCTGCTTCACTATTCCCTGTTTTGTTCAACCAGTTTATTCCGCTAAAATTAAAGTCACCCATGACATAAATACTGTTAGATCTAGATGCTCTAGATATTTCATCCCATAGATGCTTTGCTTCCATTCTGTCTAAATTTGGTGGCCTATATATTACTCCTATTATAATATTATTAGCTTTTTCGTTTAATTCAATCCAAATAGTTTCTGTGTGTGGCTCTGTTTTGATTCCCTCTTTGAGACTACATTTCAAATTGTCCCTAACATATATGGCTACTCCACCTCCTCGTCTAATATATCTATATGGATACATGATGTAGTGATGAGCAGTAAGTTGCAGCAGAAAATACAGATGTACTATATGTTACAATAGTGTATATTGGTAGAATATATAAGTTGTAGCAGATTACCACATAGAGGTTTGTGGTAAAGTGCAGCAGTGTGTATACAGGTATGGACAACTGTCAGAAGAGTAAGCAGGTGTATCTTAATCGTTGCCATGTATGTAGGCACCAAGACATTGACGACAATTGTTGCAGATACAGTACTTCAACTTATTTTATACTCTTCAGGAATAATGTTAACTACATTATAGAAATTGCTTTAAATATAATGTTTTATGTTTACTGTATTTTATAGAAATACAACTGTACCTTGAAGCACCAATTTCTTGGGACCCCTCCCCCTGCCCTATTGACGGAAATAATATAAATGACCTGAAAAGTGCACGTTAATGTCCAGAGGTGAACTAGGCATTATTGCTCTATCACAAAAATGTAATATAATGGCGTGCAACTGTAAACCTCTCAATTTTGCAGGTCCCATTACACCAGGTGGAGGTCACGGGTCAAGCAGCTCGGGCACGGTCAAACCCCTCGACCCCAGTATTGACCTGGAGCTGGACGTGCGAGTTTGTATCAGCTCTGGCATGTGTAATCTTTATACCAAGTGTGTGTCACGGGAAGAAGAGAAGAGGTCAGTTCACACCTTGATAAATGTTAAACCTTTTAAGTATGCAAAAGCCCATTGGGAGAATTGAGTCGGCTGAAGTATTATAATGCCAACAAGACAAACTTACACTTGCGCCAGTTGCACAGGTACACATTACCAGTTATCTTGTACGTCCAGGTACAAGATAACTAAAAGAGGGGAGCACTATCTATGCTATGTCAATGCAGCTGGGACACACACACACACAAATTTGTAGTACAGTAATTTGAGAAAGCTTGTATCCAAGAATGTTTAAAAGGACCATTCCTGTTCCTGTCATTTATAAATCTAAGAATAATGCATGGAGGTACAGAGTAAGGGGTGACATGCTTAAGTATAAAAATGGATGAAATAAAAGTGAAGGAAAGACCCAAAATGTGTGTAAAGTGTATTAAAAATAATTTTTCAGATGTAACTTACCGGTACATCCTTTCTCAAGGTGCTGTATACACTGTCAAGAATTTTTAAAGTGCATGAAATTTAGAACCACCCATAGTACTCTACTCACCATGTGATGAATTTCAATAATTTATTCACATAAATTGTTTGGTTTTGTTCCATATTTTAGTGAAAGTGTGTGTTGTATGGCCAAAGTTGCCAGTTGACTCCAGCTGTTGTTGCCTGGGTTATCTTCACTTGTAGATGGCTTGCACTGCCACTGCCCTCCAGGGTTACTGTATCATCTTCCCTGTGGGGTAGTGGTTACCACCACCTACAAGGTGCTGCTTCTCCAGTATCGCACACTTATGAGTAGTGCACGACCATTGCTCCCTCTGCGAGGCTTGTTGACGAGAAGTTCTAGTTTAATAGTTCACAAGTGTGGCTTTAAAGAGACCATTGTGAAGCTTTTACTCACCATACTGATATTTTATTCACCTGAGGTTATTCATTTACATTTACAATTATTTGTTGAAAGCTACATGTAATCATACGTTGCATGTGTCAGTAGATATTACTTTAGTTTACCTCCTTCCTTCAGTAACTATTGTTCATGATAGGTTATAATAAAATATTTTGGCCAGCAGAATGAAAAAGGAACGAAGTTTTTCTGGAGGCATATCAGAAACTCCGAGCAGCCCTGGCTCAGTTCGTAAGAAAAATGAAGCTCGCACCAACATGTCAAGCGGTAAACTGCGAGCCCCACCTCCACCTTCACTCTCTGTGTCTGCTGATACCATCTTCTATATCCCAGGCCTCGATGTAAAGGTAAGTGTAATGTTTCTGGTACAATATTTTATTAATAGAAAATAATGTTGACAGTGTCTTGCCTATGCTGTTTTGTCAACACCCAGGACGCAGTATTTCATATTTAAAATTAGAGTTTTTGACATTCATGCGTACCTGACTGTTGTTTCAAGATACACTAATTAATGGCTCTTGTTTCCTCTTCTCTCGGGTTCTCATTTCCCCTCTACACCCTTGCCACAAGTTCTTTCGTTCACTCTCTACACCCTTGCCATAAACACAAGGTCTAGACATGGTGTGTCTAGACCTTGACCTTGTCTTTAAATGTGAAAAATTTAAACTGGAGAGGCTACTTTTTTTTTCATGAGCTGACCATACATCCATAGATTTTCTGTCATTTAAGCCTCCTTGAATAGTAAACTGTGCTACATTCAGTATTTTTAAACCAACAACAGTAAAATTAACAGTTTATAATTCTTTAACAATTAAATATTTATAAGTAAAAATGGGTAACTTGAATTGTAAATAAGAGAGGACATGTTGAGGTTTTAATCTTCCTGTATTGCCTGTTAAGTTGAATAACAGCCACACAAGAAGGGAAAAGAATTATCAGAATTTATTCTCTCAGATAGTTTATTTAATTAATATACTACCAGGGATGTTTTATATTCAGGTTCATTATGAGTCGCACAACATTCATGAAGAAACTCCAGTTGGGAGTGGCGGCGGTGTGTTTGGCAGTGGCGTGGGCATTCCCTCGGAAGGCTCCGGGTGGTCACCTGCTGGCACGGCAGGAGGCAGTGGCAGCCTTGGTGGCAGCTCCCGCAAGAGTGGAATTGGTAGTGGTGGTATCAAGCGTGCTTCGCTCTTCACTTGGCTAACTTTGCAAAGCATACAGAGAGAGACTACAGTGAGCCCAAACATTCTGGAGTTCCTCGAGTTGGCCTTGGAGCCACTGCCTGTACCCGAACCTCAGCACAAATCTCCAGCCGCATCTCAAGGTACACTACTTCATTCTCTTGTTCCTGTTGATAATTATATAAAAAACAATCTTCCTATCATGTGCAATTTTTTCTTTTATATTCCTTGGTAAAGCGGGAAAATATAATTTAAATATAACAGTGGCGATAGTGTTTTGCATTCATTATTACAGATTTTGTGGTCCCATTCTTGCTTAATCCTTCAGATCATTCAAAGTTTACCATTAGGAATAAATTATAATAATTAGAAGAATGTAAAATGACTTGATATTCATTATGGAGCAACTGTGTTTGATAAAGACAAGGTGTTGGGCATGGTTTAGCACACCTTGCTGAGCAAGTCTCTCTGTTGCTCCCAAAGCCTTATTGTCCACCCAGGATACAATTTAGTACACACAATATGCTTAAGTCAACTTTCCTCCACCATGACAAGAATTTCTGCACATGGTCTTGCCATATAGTTAGGGTGAGGAAAGAGTGAAGAGTATCTCGATCCACATCTGAGGAAATAGTTGGTTCTATATTGGAAAATAACATATCGGCATGCTAAGTACTGCTTGATATCTATCAAATACCAATTGCCACTTAATGCTGTCCATCTGTCACTGGTAATATGTTTTAAAAACATTTGGGTTTTGTATGGGTTGGTCCTGAATTTCTCTCCCCCTCTTTGTGGTTTTGGTTTAACTAAACCAGAGAGCTTATTCTCCCAGGAGGTTTGTTTCCTTTATCTTCCTGTCCATTTCTGTTGCCACCACCACCATTTTCCTTGTGCATGTTTCTGAATCCCAGGTGTGGCTCCATGTCAGATTTCTGTTGCTTCATCTCCCGTAGTTTCCAGTCACAGCACCTACTTTGGAATCTGCTTTCATTTCTCCTGGTTTTCTCCATTTTGGCATTATCTGTTTGGAATAGTTTCTTTTCATCAGTCCCAGGTTTGTGCTTTAATGGGCAAATGGTCTTGGAGGTTTCCTGTGGTAGCTGTGGTTTTCCATTGGTCCTGCTGCCCTTACAAGGCCTTGAGATTTTCCCTCTTATTGGGTGGGGTGTAGCCCTGGAGGTGTCTGGCCTTTCTATCTTATAGGAGACAGCTCACAAGGCCTTGGATAAGTGGGGCAGGGGTTGTATGTGTGTGTGTATCCTGACTTTGGCCTGCCTGCTTGTCCCTGCATGGTTCATGCCTGCATATTTCCATATGGGGTTCTCTTTGGCCCTACTCCAGGTTAGGTTAAATTAACAATCTGTTTTTGAAACCATGTTAATACACATGTCCTACTTTTACAGAACGTGAACCAGTGTTCAATGTGGATGTTGACACTTCAGGAGCTCCCGGTGGTGGTGGAGTACCTTATGTTTATGCATCGTTTCCTGTTGATGTTGTGGTTTACTTTCATATGCAGCCATCAACTATTCGGTAAGCATTATACAAGAATTTGCTCGTTTCTTTTTGCATCTTCATAGTAATTCTGTATGTAATACATGCAAGCCAAGTAGTTAAAGCAGAAGTACAGTACAGTAACTATACAATTTGTGTTTGAGCAATTGTAAACATTGGAAGGGTACTGCACCCTCTGGTGACTTTATCATTCCGCTGTAATTGCTTTCTCAACAAGTAGTCTGTAATACTTCAGCAGTTATTTAATAAACAGATATAGACACAAGAAGCTATGCAAGCATTTGAACCCTTGTCTGAAAGGACAGGAGTTAAGTGGGCGTGTTTACAGTTAACTGGAACTCTGGATGACTGAATAATGAATTAGTGAACATAAATATTTTCTAATAACAGAACATCTTGCTATTACGTATATAACAAAAAAAAAATCGGCAAAATACTAAAGAATGTATAATGACTTGGCCATAAGAGATAAACAGAACTGGTATACCTATTAGATTTATGCTTGGGGTAATATAAACTATTTATATTAAATAAACTTTGGCCAAACATTTAGGTCATTGTTTCAATTAATGTGTTGAAGGGGATAGAGATAATATCTTCAGTTTCCTACAAATGGCCAATTCCCAGAAAGTGAGCATCTAAACTATTTAGTGCTGAGAGATAAACAATCCCAGGGCTTAGCCAAGAGCTTAAATTATATAATTTCTTCTTGTAACTTACATTAGAGTAAAATATTTCATCAGTGAGTATGTAATAAAGAGCACTTGAGTCACATGGTCCAAGACTGTAAATGTTAACTTTTTTCCTCTGCACTGCATCAGATGAATACATGTATTCATTTGCTTACCTGTTGACTACAAGACAGATGAGTTTCTCTTTTATTTAGTAACGTATTATTCTACAGAAAACATCAATGAGAAAATTTTTGAATTAGAATTGTATTAAATCATTCATGGCCTTAGAGATTATTCCTTAATAACCAGGTTAAGTTTCCAGCTAACTCTTATGGGAAAAATAAATATTTACTGAAAAATTTGCATGGCAAATGTGCACTTTGCTCAACATTGTACCTTGGTGCAAGAACTGAAGACCAAGTACAGGTACCCCCTATACTGTCCATTGTAGTTATAAAAGTAGTGATGTCGTAAGTTGCTGAGTGATGCAATAACATCTGTGGATTACAACTGGTACCATTTGGCATCAATCTGCATTCAAAGACTGACATGAAAAAAAACATTTCCTGTACAGTACTTGATATGCTCCGTCAACAGTATAGTTTACTGAATGCATTTTATGATATAGTACATTTATTGAGGGTTAAGTTTGGGAAATGTTTCCAAATGTTACCATGCATATTCTTGCAGGTTCTCTTGCCAACCAGTTTCCCGTGTGGAGTGTCTCCTGCAGTTACCATCCCTCAACCTTGTCTTCTCATCAAAGAGGGCAGATGATGGGTGAGATAATTTGGCTCTTGTTAATTTTTAGTATGCTTAATTACATTTGTTATTTATATTATTAATCTTTATTGTTTTCTACTTAAATGCTTAGTGAACCATCAACAGATCAATGGCAGATTTAGCGAGTAAGCTGCCAGCAACTATCGGAGGATTAAGTGTAACTGGTGTCCTGGAGGACTTCTCACTGTACGTCTTCCACCCATATGGGGGAAAACAGCGTGGCACCTCAGGAGCTCCATATTTGGCATCCTCTCCCTTGGCAGCCCTTACAGACAGTGAACGGAAGGATTCCCTAAGTGTCATGGTGGAATTTGTAAAGTTTCACATATCTAGGTCACGTAAGATTAACTTCAAACCAGAACTGGGCACGAAAATGAAGGCAGCCAACATTGCAGACTCGGCTAAGGCCATCATCAGATTTTCCAGTAAGTTGCATGCCATGCCTGTTATTATGTTATTAAACAGTGACATTATCATAGGGTGTGACATAAAAAAGAATCGGAACTCTATATAATGTAAATCTTGGTAATCCTGGATTTAAAACGCACAATATATTACAATGCTTGCAGTCAATATACTTCAAACAAAACATTTAACAGCTGGCTATAGGAGCATCCAAAGGTCATACACAGAATGGAGCATTTCACTGTTTTAAGTTACCTACATTTGTTAGTTTTTTGTTTTTAAATTTGGTGTATCTTCATGCTGTATACTCATCACTTCAACAGTTGTTCAAAATGAAAATTGTATCAGATGTTATTGCATGAAAAAGTTGGTGATTAATTGCATTAAGTCTAGGTCATCCTTGAATATTTCCAGTTTTAATTTATTTGCAACTTTGATTCCTTCATTCTAATTACATTTAATAGCATTTGTTTTTATTGCTGCTCATTGTAGTAACTGTCACATGACATCCACAGCCATTGTAGACATTGGAGCTGCCCACTTCAAGTATGACATGCGGAGACTGACAGAAATCCTAGCATTCCCCCGAGCATGGTACAGGCGATCAATTGTGAGGCGATTGTTTTTAGGAGACTTCACAAGTGGTGCGATGTCAAGTGAGTGGGATGAAGCGAGTCCAGCAGCTTCCTCCGGAGAGTCGCCACCCACTCATAATGTTTCAACTAAGCGACATTCGTCAAGGTTTGTACCTTTTCTGCTTGTTATACATCTTGGATTTAGTTATTTTGTGCATTAAAGAACAAAACAATTTTTCTTGCCTACTTGTAAAACTTGATGCTTAGGTTCCAACCAGTGTTGCCAGAAATAGATAAATAGAGGAGTTAGCTATAAGTAGAATTGGATCATGATACTGTGTCTCGTTCAGTTCGTCAGAGGGTATTGACACAAATCGTCGAGAGAATGGCAGCATAGACGGCAGTGGCATCAGGTCAACACCAGCCACATCACAACTTCTGGGTACTGCCGGTGCTGGTAGTCGTGCACGAGATAAACTCAGGCTTAATTTTGATTCTGATGCGAACATCAGAAAAAGCCCTAAACTTACAGGTAATATGTTTTTAGTATTGGACAGTTTTTATCATATTTTTCCTATCTTTATTATCTCCATAAAAAATTCTTCACAAATTATAATGCATGCAGCATTAATCCTGTAATGTACTGTCGACAATAGTGATTCTATATGTGTTTCTTCCTTCTATAGTGTGCTTGGTTATCTCTAGGTTCCTTTTTAGAGTAATGGATCACCTTTTCCTTGATAAACATCTGAAATAGTCCACAGAATGCACAGTAGATCTACAAGGGTCACAAGACTACTGCTAACTGGGACAGCACGGGTTAGCAATATGACATTCTCAGCCATGTGTATGGCTACATGGGCCACATGGCCATGTGGACATAAAAATAGTGATGTTCATTTTATGGGCAGCAACTTGGTGGTTTTATATAGCAGGTTCAAATACAAAAATGGGGACTTGGGAGGATGTTCACGAAATTGAATGTGGGTTTCTTGGATATTCGTATATTGGGGTAATTAACATATAGTTTAACAACTCTACTATACTGCAGGTTTCTTATGTTTCCTAAACTCTACTCAGATGATTTTTCAATATGATTTGTTAGTTGGTTTAGCCTTCAGATAGGTTGATCATTTCTTATCTTTTTTTATAATGTGTTTATAATTCTCAGGTGGCAAGACAGACGGCATGAGCGAGGAGGAAACTGATGTGTTTGGGGCACCACCTGCGGCACCAGATGTGGCTGAAACATCTTCATCTGATAAATCATGTGAAGCAGATGGAGCAGGAATGACTCAGACGGCAAATAAAGCAGGCTCGTGGGAGACTCTGGTGCTTTTTGCCGTCAACTTCACCCGCCTCAGTGTGCAGATGAACATGGGCAATGTGATGGGCAATGTTGTGTATGTGATGCAGTATTGTTTTTACTCTTGTGTGTTTGTTTTATACACACAGCTCATTGTGACATAAAACAGGATACAGAATAAGGGTTTATTCTGCTAATTATAATGTTATTAGTAATTTTAATACTGTAATACAGTATGATGGTGAATCACAGCATGATCTTAAAAGCATTATTGTACCCAAGATATTGATATCTTATGAAGTATGTTACAGTAATGGCTCCAATTAAATTATTAATTAAAACTTTTACTCAAAAAAGAGTAATATAAAAATATTTGATTTTCATTTGAATGGTAATTAGTAATTGTTTAGTATTGATTATGTAATAGTGGTATATGATTCTAGTGTGCATCTGGCCTAGATTCATGCTCAGCCTCTGCTCAGTAAAGTATACACATACATTAAGAAAGGATAAAGGAATCCATAATTGAAGTGGAACTGTACAGTATAAGAAAGAGAAGTTGTAAAAAAAAAGAACTGGAACTCCTGATATATGGACTTACTCTTGATAATTTCTTTATCCCCAGCTGGACAACAAAAGACTTCAAAGCCAATGGAAGACTTTCAATCGGAAGCACAGGCCACAAAAACATGTACATTGGTCTTGGTCTGGGAGGGTCTGGTCTGGAGGCCAAGGGAGGCATTGTGGGTGGCACCATTGAACTCTCGGAAATTAACATGTATTGTAAGTTGGCTTTGTGTACAGTCCATCACTCTTCATGATTTTCAATTGTTTTGTGTATGAAACATTAAAGGATGCTTTATGACTTTGTGTTAATAAATTTGATTTTTGCTGCCAAAGCATTTGATATTCTTTGAAGTTGTTAGGTTATGCAAGATATGATCTTTAAATGTTTATATATGCTCTGAAGTGCAGGTAAAGTATTGTGTGTTTGACAGCTCAACTGGCACTGTATAACAGTGTGGCACGGTCCTTTCAGTAGCTCCCTAGAGCTTACTACACTGGAAGCCCATAGCCGTCTGTGTGTGTCACCACCCACCACCACCACCACCACCACCACCACCACCACCACCACCAACAACAACCACAATCTTGCATTCTCTGCAGGGTGGAAAAGCAGATATTGATCAAAGATCAACTTAGCACCTGAACCAACCACCCAAAGAGTAGAAAGGAAGTCAAAGACACGACTTCTCTTCAAAAAAAAGGAAATATGGTCAGATAATAATTCTGACTGAATGAAACTCTTTCAGTGACTTGCCATATCCAAAACTTTCTTGTATTTGCTGTTTAGTTTTTAAGATTTTAATATAACTCCTTTATTTTAACAATAAAGCAGTAATTACATCAGTAGAGCTGCAGAAAGTCTAATGCAGCCGAATGTTGACTGTGTGAAGTCAATAAATGATAAAAACTTTAATCTTGTGTAGAAGTGGTTTGTGTTTTATCTCCCTCACACAATACCTGGAATTACCTGTGCATGTACAGGTAATGGTAACATGTGTGGAAAAAAAAATTTGCTGCCACATCTGTGGTAGAAAATTAACTAATCAATCAAAGGCACTTACATTTTATGCATTTACATTTCAGTAAAAATCCGTGAAGACCCGGGAACTGAGCCAGACCACACTATTGGTGTCAAGTTATTTGCATCACAGTCACGCTTAGACTACATGGGAACCAGTGTACTTATGGGCAGAGTTTCCTCCTTTGGTGTTACGTTGAGAGATGAGTGGAAACTTAAACAGTGCGCTGATAGTGATGAAGATACCACACGAAGGTATGTTATTTGATGACTGTCTCTTTTGCACATACACGGTGAGGGTCTATGGTGGGTCCCCTGCTGTGACAAACAGAAACAAGCTCTTTTAAGGCAGTAAGGAGGTTGACCATTAGTGCAGAATTATAAATGCCTTATACTCTGAGCAAATAAGAGTAGGAAATGTATAGGTAAGTTAACACTTTTGTTGCCCCGGCGAGTGACCCACCGCACTTCTCAAGGTAGGTCGAGCGGTGCGCGCTAACTCACCACCCCCCACAAATGTTTATACTCTTCTTCTTTTTTTTCTTAGCTTTCTGACCTCAATTTTCATGCTACATCATTCAATTTGGGTTCAAATTGTTTGCAATAGAATGCCGTAAAAAATATTTGCATATAAGAACACATAATTCTTACATTTCTATACTTTCGACAAAAACTCTATAACTTTCCCTCATGTGTGTTTCTTTCAATGCTTTTGTCATGGATTGGCTCTGTTCTTGATCAGTATCCATCTGGAAGTCAATTTGCAGTGTTTATAAAGCCGGTAAAAGCAAATACTTGAGATACAATAGCGAGAATGGGAAAACTTTTCGACTCTAGGGGGAAGCCACTGCTGTTACGAGCGCGGTCTCAAGAACAGAGAGCCTCCAGCATGGGTGGGCACCCAAACGGTGGGGTCAGGATGCCACGTGGGGGTATACAGAGAATGGGCAGAAGTTGGGGTGTGTTTTAAAACAAATCCCATAGTATTTGGACAATAAATGGAATTTCTACAAATTTTTAAATTATTGACGCTTATTTGCGTTATCGGGCATACTCCACATTTTGGTTCTGTGACGGAACATGTAGCATCAAGTAGCGAAAGTGTTATTTACATTACAGTACTTGTATTCCACTTATACCTGTACTGAAGTGTTACCTAGATAGTCTAAGCAATTGTGAAATAGTGTGATATAATAGTAGGGTTGGTTACTGAAATATCACTTGGTTTTTGCAACTCTGTGGCTATTGTTGTTGAAATTTCATAAGTGTCCATAAGCCTTTGTGTTAAGATGGTGGAGAACCTTCAAGAGTACCAGCATACCAAGGTAGCTCAAATGTGTACTCTGGTTTGTGCAGAAACATAACATTTGTTCAGCTTTGTTCAGTTTATATTACAGTATTTGAAATTGGTGTTAGAAGCAGTGAGATGTTAGAGGACCTTCCTGCGTTACCTTTAGACTATCAGCTTAGGTCAATCTGGAGGATTAGTGGAGCACGCACAACCTTCAATAAATGTAAACGTGACAAGTGTAGGTAGGCTATGGAGCTTCATACAGTTAAAAGATAAAGAATCAAAACTAATGTTGATTTGTGCAGAGGTGCTACTATATTCATCCTGGGTGACCTGGAGTGGGATCAGCTGCAGCTCATCATCAGCAAGTCCACCACAGCTGACCTGCTAAAGATGCACCATAAGCTTGACGAGTTCTTTTCACAGCAATTTAAGTCAAGCAAGAGAGTTTTCTCCTCCCTTCAGCCCACCAGACACAAATCGTCTGTCAAACAAAGGCCCAAGGATGGAAACCGCAAGTTGGCTGGTGGTAAGATCTCATTAAGTCTTTAATATTTTGTATGCCACAAATAACATTATTTGGACAAAAGAGGGATGATTATTTGGTTTACTTCCTAGTTTGGCCCACTGTTGTTTATGCTTTAAAAATTACCTTTATATTTTATTTATTGAAAATCTGTAATTATATGTATAAAACCTATTTTGTATTAGAATGTAAACTTTTAAAATTTGAAGCCTCTTTTATCATTGCAGTGTTGGGTGTGACATCAGGTCAGGATGCTCGTCATCATCGTCACTGGCAAGGTGTACTGTACCGTGTGTCTGGTCTGCGGCTCACCACCCTGCCGTTACCCTTGCCAGACTCTGGAACAGTCCTAGGTGGATCATTAGAACTTCATGGCAAAACCATCTCTCTTGCATGCTTCCATGGTGTTAACTTTAGAAGTAAATCATGGGCCTTATTTAGTCTTCAAGAACCATACATTAACTTCACCTCAGAAGTGCAAGAGGTTCCTGGAGACCGTAAGTTATACTCCAGATTATCGTTGGCTTTAGCACTACAGATATTACCATGTATAGTAATTCACTTACTAAAATATATTGTGAATTCAGTTTCATATTCAAATCACTGCATTAAAAGCAATATTGCATGTACAGTAATACCCTGTTGACAGCAGCATCACATTGATGTCATCAAGGTGGTGGAGGCCAAAACCGTCATTAGTTTCAAAGCATTATATGACAAAGAGTACATACTGGGGAGACAGGACACCACAAGCGTAACTCATCCTGTAACTATACTTGAGTAATTACTTAACACACGCTAAACCAAGCCAGCTACACAATGTAAATAATCATAGTGCTTCATTATTAGTTCCCCCTCCCCGCTCAGCTCGTTGTCGCCGTCTGGGGGCTTAGTGGGCGGCTGCCGGAGTGTGATGCTCCTTGGGACAGTCCTCTGTCCTTTTCTAGCCTTGTGCTCCTGCTGCCGTCCTCTCCAATTCTGCTGGGCATCTTTTCCTTTTCCTTCTGTTTCGTTTTTCTCCCCCCTCTTCTCCTATCTGCTTGCCGTTTCCTGCCGACCTTTTGCTCGTTCTGGTTCTTCCCTTGGACTTCTTCTACTTTGACGCCCGGGTGCTTGAGGAGGCATACTCTTGCACCCGTAGAACTGCAGTACCCGACGTCGAGAGCGAGGGGAACCTTTTATTGTCAATCCCCACTTCGTCACTGAACCCGATCTCGACGGACTGTCGGTTTCTTAAGGTGGCGTTTGTGGGGCGTATACTCACGACGCACCCCTAGGAGGCCCCGACAAGATCGGCGATAGCTTCTTGTTGGGTGTCCTGCCTCTAATTGTGGCTCCATGGTGGGTGTGGGGGCACATTCGTGAGTGAATTCGTAATTTCGTCAGGATGGTAACCCCTGTTTCGGCTGCTTCTGGCTTACCTTTTCAGGCTCGTGGGGTGGGCGACCAAGCCCCCGAGTCGGTCCGTATTGGAAGACCGGGCTCTGTAGCCTCCGCTGCATTGGGCCCCGACCTTGCTCCTCCTTTGGCCTCTCTGACTCCTTCCCCTGGCTCCCCTCCCTCCTCTGTGGTTGGGTCGAGCCCCAAGCCCCCAGTGGTGACTACCTCGTCCCCTGGCGCGGCTCCTTCTCTAGTTGTAACTACTGCGCCTTTTAACCCCTCTCTCTCTGGGGGTTCTCACCGCCGTTCTCGTCACGGCCGCCCTCGCTCGATTCCTTCCAGTTCTGCTACCTATCAGGCCTTGTTTGGTCCCGCTTCGTGGGCCAAATATTTTGATCTCCTCCCTCTTGATTCTGCGCCTCCTGACGATTTCTCCCTTCATCGCCATCTCATTGATTCCGTGGATGCCTCCATTACTTTTAACCCCACTCGTCTCGGTACGCGTGTCGTTGCTGCTCCTTCTCAGGATGCTGCTTCCCGCTTGGCTGCCTTATCCTGCCTTGGCGAGACCCCCGTTCGGGTCTCGAAGAACGTTCAGTTGAATGCCAGTGTTGGCACTATTTTGCTCCCGCCCCATGTTGCGACCGGTGTTCGGGACCTACGCGACTGCCACGACGATATTCGGCATATCCTCGCTGCCCAGGGCCATTCTATTCTCCAGGTGGACACGTTTACTCGTCCCCCTCGTGGTAGTCGCCGTCAACCCCTCCGGGTTGTGAAGATTACCTTTGATGGTAGGACCCTTCCGCCCTCTGTCATTCTTGCTGGTGCCAGGTGCTCTGTCCAGGAGTACATTCCTTCTCCTCGGCTCTGCAACAAGTGCTGGAGGTTTGGGCATGGTGCCCTCCGCTGCTCCGGGACTGTCTCTCTCTGTCCTTTGTGTGGTGGCGAAGGTCACTCTAAGTCGGAGTGCGCTTCTCCCCAGGCTCGTTGCCTCAACTGCGGTGAGGCCCATCCTACCTTCTCCCGTGCGTGTGTCCATTACAAGCTTGAGGCAGCCGTCCTCAACTTGAAGCACCGGGAGCGTTTATCTTTTCCTGAGGCGAGGCGCCAGGTTCGCCGGCTCCCGCCTTATGCTAATATCTCTTATGCTCGCGTGTTGCGCTCTTCCTCTCCTCGTCCTTCCCGCCTTCCTCAGACTCACAACCGTTTCCAGGCCTTGGACCCTGATGCGCCCACTGCCCCCTCCTCTGTCCCTTTGGGTTCTCTCCCGAAGGATCCTCCTCCTGGTCCTCTGTCTGGGGTTCCCCTTCCTTCTACCCGGTCTGTCGTGTCTTCTGTGTCTCCTTCCTCGTCCCCCTCCGATCCTCCTTCCCATCCTCTTCCTCCATCTTTCGGCTCTCCCCGCCGCCTGTCGGTGCGGGCGGATGTCCATCGCTCTCCTAACGGCCGTCGTGTGTGCTCTCGTTCGGCTTCTCCTGTTGAGACACTGGAATCCGTTGCCCGGTACGTAGTTGCTGGGACACCGGTCTCTCTAAGTCAGAAGCGTAAGCCTGGCTCCTCTCCTTCCTCTTCCCCGGCGGGTAAGAAGGCTTCGCTTTCTTCCTCAGCTCCTCCTTCTGGCTCTGTTGCTCCTTCCACTCCCGTTTCAGTGCTTGCGCCCCCTGTTCCTGCTATGGAGGTTTCTTTGGCCCCTGCTTCCCTTTCGGTTGCTGTTCTTGCTGGGGTGCGCTCCTCTCTTTCTACTCCCCCTCTTCCTGCTGCTGTCCTTGACTGCTCCTCTCCGTTGTCTCCTCCTCCTCCTCCGGACCCTGCCCGCCCACCTCTGATCTGTTCTCCCGTTTCCTTCCCTCCGTCTTTGCTCAGTTTACCCATGCCCCCTAACCCTGACTTTGCTGACCCTGATCCCGACCCTGATATTCTTTAACGTGCTCTGTTGGTCTTTCGCCTTTGTTTCTTCCTTGTTCTCTGTTTTTGTCCTTTCTCTTCTCGTCGTTGTCCATTCTTCAATGGAACGTTCGAGGTTATTACGCCAATTTCCTCGAACTCCAACTTCTGGTTTCGCGGTTTTCGCCCCTTTGTGTCTGTCTCCAGGAGCCGATGCTTGGTGCTCGTCCTGGTCGTTTTCGTGGCTATTCCTTTCTCTCCCCCCCCCCAGCCATTGCTGGGGCTTCTAATTCTTCTGCTCTCTTGATTCGGGCTGATGTTCCCTTTGTTCCTTTACTTTTTCCTTCGCCTCTCCATTGTTCTGCTGCTCGTATCTTTGTGGGGAAATGGTACACAGTTTGTTCCATTTATCTCCCCCCGAGTGTCCCGCTCTCTCTTCCTGATTTGAAACACCTCCTAGACTCCTTGCCGGAGCCTGTGCTCCTGCTGGGTGACTTCAATTGTCGTCATTCTCTTTGGGGTGACGTTCTGACGAATACCCGGGGTCGCCTCCTTGAGCCGTTTCTCCTCTCTTCTTCCCTGTCTCTTCTGAATTCTGGTGAGCCCACTCATTTGGACTCTCGAACTCGCACCCTTTCTTGTCTTGATCTTTCTCTCTGCTCTTCTTCTCTTTACTTAGATTTCACATGGCAGGTTCTTGATGACCTCCATGGAAGTGATCATTTCCCCATCCTTGTTTCCTTTTTCTCTTTTCGCCCTTCCCTCTCTTTCCCTAGGTGGCAGTTTGCTAAGGCGGACTGGACCCTATTTTCCCTCAGTGCTACTCTCTCTGACCTCTCCCTTCTGCCCCTCTCTCGTGCTCTCCTCCTTTTTCATGACACTGTCTTCGACGCTGCCCTCCGCTCTATTCCTCGCTCTTCCTCTCGGGGTCCACGGAAGTGCGTTCCCTGGTGGAATGCGGACTGTGCTCGGGCTGTCCGCTGTAAGCGTGCAGCCTGGAAGAAGCACCGCCGTAGGCAGACGACCGATTCTTTTCTTTTCTTTCGGAAAGCGAGTGCGGTGGCCCGTAGGGCCATCCGTACGGCTAAACGTGAATGTTGGGCATCTTATGTCTTTACGTCCGAATTACGTCCGAAACCCCTCTGGCCCAGATCTGGAAGCGTATCCGCAAGATAGCGGGTAAGTTCGTTCCCGATGTTTCACCGGTCCTTCACCTCCATGATACTCTTGTGGCGGACCCGTTGCAGGTCGCTTCCAAACTGGGTTCCCACTTTTCTTCTGTTAGCTCTGGTCTTCATCTTCCCCAATCTTTCCTTCTTCGTAAACCTGTCCTTGAGTCTCGTCCTTTAGATTTCTGCACTCATCTTCAGCTTCCCTATAATGATCCCTTCTCTCTCTCTGAACTTCGTTCTGCCCTGGCCCTCTGCGGTTCTACGGCGGCGGGCTCCGATGGTATTCATTATGAGATGCTTCGCCATCTCCCTCCGAGCACGTCTCAGTATTTACTGAGTCTGTATAATCGGATCTGGGAGTCGTCGTCAGTCCCTGAGGACTGGCTCGATGCCGTTGTCCTCCCTGTTCGCAAACCGGGGTCTCTGGGTACTTCCCCTAAGGACTTTCGCCCTATTGCTCTCACAAGTTGTGTCTGCAAACTCTTTGAACGTATGGTTAACGTTCGTCTGATGTGGTTCCTGGAACACCATCACCTCCTCTCCCCTTCTCAATTTGGTTTCCGCAAGTGCCGCAGCACGACAGATGTCCTGGTGAACTTGGAGGTCTATATACGTACTGCTTTTGCTGCGAAGACCTCCGTTGTTGCCGTCCTTTTTGACCTAGAAAAGGCTTACGACACCACTTGGCGTTATCATATCCTATCTCAACTTCATTCTTTTGGCCTTCGTGGTCATCTCCCTCTCTTTCTCCGCAGCTTCCTCTCTCGTCGTTCCTTTCGGGTGCGCCTTGGTACCGCTCTCTCTCCCTCTTTTCAGCAATACGAAGGTGTGCCCCAGGGTAGTGTTCTGAGCACTACTCTTTTTCTGGTTGCCCTCAATGGTCTTCTTTCCTCTCTTCCTTCTGGTGTCTTCTCCGCTCTCTATGTCGATGATCTTACCCTTTGTTGTCAGGGTGATGATTCGCCTCTCCTTCAACGCCGGCTTCAACTTGCGATTGATGCCGTGTCGTCTTGGGCCACAGGTCATGGCTTCAAGTTCTCTACTTCTAAGACTTGTGCCATGACTTTTACGCGGAAACGGGTTGTTCTTCGTCCCTCTTTGTCACTTTATGGTCATCCCCTTGAATACAAAGATTCCGCGAAGCTTTTGGGGTTATTCCTTGACACTCGTTTGTCTTGGTCTCCCCATATCTCTTACCTCCGTGTTGAGTGCTCTAAGTCCCTTACCCTCCTTCGGGTCTTGTCCCATACTTCTTGGGGGGCAGATAGGCGCACTCTCCTTGCTTTACATTCCTCTCTCGTCCTGTCTAAGCTCGATTATGGTTGCCCTGCTTACTCGTCTGCTTCTCCTTCTACTCTTCGCCGTCTTGATGCTTTGCACCATACTGGGTTGCGCCTCAGTTCTGGTGCCTTTCGTTCGACTCCCGTCCTTAGCTTGTATGTTGACACTGGCTTCCTGTCTCTCCAGGACCGCCGTGATCGCTACTGTCTTCGCTATCTTGCGCGGTCCTTGCAACATCCTTCCTCTCGTCTCTGTCGTGCTTTAACTTTTACCCCTCCTGCGGTTCCTGTTCCTCTTCACCACCTCCCTCTTTCTGTCCGGTTATCTCGCCTGCAGGATTCTCTTTCCGTTCGTATTTCTGATGTTTCTCCTCGTGTTGTTCCTTCTTTGCCCCCGTGGAGGGTCCCTCTTCCGCGGTTTTGTACATCCTTGACTCGTATCACTAAAGCTTTTACCCCTCCTACAGTTCTAAAACGCCTTTTCCTCGAGCACTTTTCTTCTCACTCCCGCTCCGTTTCTGTCTTCACCGATGGGTCTAAGTCAGCGGACGGTGTTGGCTACTCTGTTGTTTTTCCTGATCGCACTTATATGTGTCGCTTGCCTCCGGAGACTAGCATCTTTACAGCGGAACTTTATGCTATTCTCTATGCTCTTCGTCTCCTGCTTTCTCGTTGTCAGTCTTCCTTTGTGGTTGTTGTTGACTCTCGTAGTGCCCTCATGGCTCTCGGGTGCTTTAATCCAGTTCATCCGGTAGTTGTCGAGATCCAGCATTGGCTGTTTCTCGTTCACAGTAAATTTAAGTCGGTTGAGTTTTGTTGGGTTCCCAGCCATATTGGCGTGTCTTTAAATGAGCGTGCGGATGCTGCCGCTAAGGAAGCTGTCCGCTCTTGTCCCATCTCTCGTAAAGGCATTCCGTATTCCGACTTTTACCCGGTTATCCATTCCTCAGTCCTTACCCGTTGGCAGGCTTCTTGGTTGTCTGTTACTGGTAACAAGCTACGTACTCTTAAATGTTGTGTTTCCTCGTGGCCGTCCTCCTTCCACCGTAACCGGCGGTGGGAAACAGCTCTGGCGAGGTTGCGTATTGGCCATACTCGCTTAACCCATGGTCACTTGATGGAGCGCCGCCCTGCTCCTTATTGTCCTAGTTGCATTGTCCCTCTTACGGTCGTGCATGTCCTTCTTGAATGTCCTGACTTCCAGGACGAGCATGTGTCTTGCTTTCCGACCGCCCCTCGCGGTCACCTGTCCCTCGATAGAATTCTTGGTGACTCGGATACTTTTGATATCGTTCGCCTTATGCGTTTTTGTTCTCGTATTGGCATCCTTGGTGATATTTAGCGCCCTCTGATTATTTTGCGTATTTGATGGTGCTACATAGCCTTCCCGGTTTGGTGCCTTCTTTTGATAATTACTTACTTCATTATTAGTTAATATCTTTTCTGCTAGGTAGTAACAAACATTTTCTGTTTATAATTGTAGGAGACACTATTACATATGGGGGAAGCAGTTGCATACAGAGGACAGTTTAACATTAAAACAGTAGTGATGCTGTAATGTGAAGAAAAATAGATAAGAGAAACAGAAATTCACAGAGGACAAACTAAAGACTATAAGAATGAAAATAGTTATGTAGCCAGAACAAGAAGTTGAAAGAATTTGTAATAAATTAGTGAATGAAAGCAAGAAGTGTGTTTGTACAGTGTTAGGTTGTGATGGAGGTTGTTTTGTTTCCTTTCCAGCCCCACGTGACACACACATTGTGCAGAACCTGACCTTCAGTTTGGGGGTTATGGAACAGACTCATGCACAGCATGTCTCTATGGCCACTGTCTGCAGGATTACTAGAAACATGGTCTTCCCACCACAGTTTCGCACCATCCAGGAATGGTTCCACTATGCTTTCTGTACATCAGAACTTGACAGTAAGTTTTGTACTGTTTGTTTTATAATTATGTAGCTTACCTCCATGTGCTCAGTATTGTGTAACTGAAGGAATGGCTCTACTTTTCCAGCCTTATAAAAGTTATATAGTATTTCTACTGACCCACTTGAACAGATAACATGCCTCACTGTGGACTTTGCCACCAATGAAGTTAAATAGGATTAATTTTCATTAGAAAGGAAAACACTTTTTTATTATTATTTCCATGAGGATTTTGTGTAATGAGATTTGGATACTCTGTACATTTGTACCCCAGCTGCATGTGGTGCTTTGACAGATGTAGATCGGTTCCCTTCCTTGGACCGCAGTGACAGCTTGCCATCATCAGATGGTAAGCGATCATCAGCCCGCTTACAGGACCACAACCATTCCTCAGAGACTGTCTTTGCCTTACCCTCAATGCAGATTCACCTTAACACCAAACATCTGCAGACAGCCAATACTCCAGACTTTATGGGTAAGCCAGTGATGTTGACCTACCAGTGGTGTGTGAAATAACTTGCAGAAACTTGACAAATATTATGGTATCATTATGCCCTGTTTACACGTATGTTATGTACTCTGTTGTACAGTACACAAGATATATTAACCTTTGGCAATACTGTTTTAGGTGTTCTTTATATTTTGTGATATACATACTGGCAGCATGCTGCAAGCTAAGAGGATGTGTCACCATTCTGGCATGTTCCTAATTCTTAATAGGACAGCTAAAATATATGTATTTATCTAAAGTTCATGTTAAAGTAAAAAAATAAATTAGGACTTCAGATATCATAGAATTTTCTCATTTTGCTTTATCATAGTAAAAACAAGAATTTAATTTTCTGGTCAACAGATGATAAACCCAAAGTGGAGTGTTCGCTCGTAACAGAGTTTCAGGATCACATATTTGTTGCGGTTGATGCGGAGAATTTCTTCTTCCTCCATGATTTGATCGCTTCATATGTGAAGGACACGAAAGAGAAGATGGTATGGTTAAAAAGAAGTTAAATTTTGGATATACAAAATTCCAATGCATAAGATTTGATTTTATCTCCTGTTGTACATAAATATTCTTTCCTTTTCTGTACAGTGGACCCTTATATAACATAGTTTAGTGTTATCTCACTCGAACAAACTTCATGGGGACAATGTCAGTTTGATGTATGCTACTAGGAAAATTTTAAATTTTTTTGTTTACTCTCTTCGGTTTCAGGTGGTTTTCTTTTGTACATGGTACCTTATGTCTGGCCTCCTGTTCCCAGCACCTATCTTCATTACTTTGCACTTGCTTTAAATAAACTCTAGTAGCCACTTAATGTAGGTGGGAATGATCGTGTAAGGAGTGAGAGAGAGGGTATATGTAGCAATATCTTTGAGGCTGAGTATTACTCGCAGATTTTTTAATGTAGATGCATGTACTTGCTGAAGGTCATTCTAGGTTTGATAGAGAAGTCTACAGTCTTCCCCCTTTTTCCTAATAATGGCCTGGTGGAGGCATTTGAAAAGACCCCTCTCTGCCAGTGATTATTAACCTGGCCTGGCTGTTATGTGATAACATCCTTGAGGGAGCAGGACATGGCCTCGGGTAGTAACTAAGTAGTCTTGCCCAAGACTACCATCTTCGAAACATGGGTTACATAAGAGTCCACTCCACTCATTTTCATATTACTGTTGCTTAATGCAGCTGTCTCATATTTTATTCTGTAAATTTTGACTAATCTGTTGTCAGATTTGTTTCAGTTATCATTAGTAGATGTTTGCCTCTTAGTTCCTAAATTAGCTAAAGAAAAATTATTACAGTATTGATAAATATTAAACCAAATGTTAATTACTGTATATTAATCATGTATTTTTGCTGCATTGTTCAGGCCAGGAAAACTAAAGGGGTGAGTTTCTTGTACAAAATATATTACTGAAAAGTTTTTCATTGTAATTGTCTTGTTCACACACTTAACTCTTTTATTCTGGATGGTTATATACAGTACCGTCCAGAATAAAAGGGTTAAATACAAACTTCTCTGGGAGAGACCCTTATTAGCTCCTTTATGACTGTGCATTTTCCCAACACATCAGGCCAGATAGTCAGGGTATTTACCCTGTGGGAATTATCACTTACTCGGTTTACCTAGGGGTACCTATTTGTCTTCAGTCAGCCGCCTGTTTTGTTGTAACTGCTTTCCCGATACATTTTCTTGTTTTGTGGTTGATATGTACCCCTCCCCCTTCCCTCACCTGGTGTGCTGGGCTAAGGTTTGGTGATGCCAATGCTAGACTTCGGAAGCTACTACAGAGTGCTTCTTTGTATTCAACTCTTGATTTTTCTCATACATTTCAGATGGTGCAAGTACAGATTCACCACTTTTAAAATTGCCACATGAGTTTTTTAAATATAAACATTAATGTTATTGTTGAGGCTACAGTACAGTACAGTAGTAGCATGTTCCCTGGTATGGGTTAAACATTGTCCCTGAATCTATTATTGCAATTTGTTCAGAATTCTAACACTGTAATACGATTTATGCTTAGTAATGTCTTAGTTCGGGAGAATTATATGCCCGGTGAGCACTTGTTAGCAGCTTTGTCGCGTTATTACATTATCCAAAACCAGGAAAGAAACATTTTGAGAGATGTATGGTATTTCAGGCTGGTGCTGACAACGAGAACAATAAGGAAAGTGGAGAGAAGAAGCCAAAGGTGGTGCGGGTGAATGAACCAACTCAACTCCTTCAACAAGATTATCGAGAATTTACTTGTCCCACCTGGCATTTGGAACCCACTGTCAGGTTATCTGTCAATTTAGTTTGTTACACCACTTCGACGTCCAGATCCTCTCCTTAATTGACACTGCAGTACCACTACCAATAATACTAATACTCCATATTTCTGTTAAACTGTGTGTGTGTGTGTGTAATTACCTAAGTGTAGTTACAGGATGAGAGCTACGCTCCTGGTGTCCCATCTTCCCAGTACTCTGTCATATTACGCTTTAAAACTACTGACGGTTTTGGCCTCAACCACCTTCTCACTTTGCTTGTTCCAACCATCTACAAAAGAAAGAAAACTTTCTTTTGTCACAGATAAATAATCACCAACACACTCCAGTAGCCATCCACAGCAAAAACAAAGGATGAGAAAGCTATTACAACCTAGCCAATAACTCATACAAGACAAAAATCCTCCACCTGTAGCAAGGACACTGTCCCACCTGAACACAGTTAGGTGTGCCAAGTGCAGGAAAACCATCTCGGCTAAGCAAACATTGAACCTGATAAAGACTACTCGGCTAGAGGAGTGTATGCAGACACAGATTAAGACAAATCACACTTGGAGACAGGAAACCCACAACCCCTTAACACTGACACCTTTCAGTATTATTGTTTTAGTATTGATATTTTATACAGTATTAAATCATCTAATTTGTCATAATCCTTGCATATACTGTAACTTTATGATTTCACATTGTTTGGATTTTTGCAAGTTTTCAATATTTTTTGCAGACTTCTCTCGTGGGCAACAAAGAACTTGGAGCCATATGGTGTGGACTACATTCTGCAGAAGCTTGGCTTCAGTCATGCCAGGACTACAATTCCAAAATGGCTCCAACGAGGGTGTATGGATCCCTTAGATAAGGTTTTGTCCTTGCTAATGTTCCGTATGATAGCTGCCATATATGACCATGACAGTGCCAACAGGTAATAGATACAATATAAGAACCAATTAGAAAACCTTCCAGCATTCCATACTTAACACTATTTGTTGTGAATATTGGTCTTTTGAAAAATTGACAAGTGAAATCTCTTGATATTCGAGTACCAGCGAACACTGGCTCTCTAATTATGAGGATACAGAGGCTTGGTGGTTCACTGCAGTCCCAAGCTCATGCCCCTGAGCATGGCTCATTATAATTCTGTGTGTAGTTCCTTAATATTATTAGGAGAGTAAATACCACAGTGTAATACAGGTATCTTGTATTTTCATTACTGTACTAGGACACATTTGTCATACAGTAATATAACAATTTTTATTGAAAATATTCAATCTAACAATGTACACTATTACAATTCTGAATATCGGCTACTGTTGTTGTTCATTAATAATAATATTTGATGTATTTCAAGTCAACATGAATGCATAATTGAGCTTGTGTGGATGCAAGACGTGGTGATGGTGGTCATGATGGTGGTGGTCATGGTGATGGTGGTCATGGTGATCAGTGCTTGTGGAAGACCAGGTTGGTGGCACATTATAGTGCCCCAGGCATCAAGTGCAGTGTCCTCTATCAAACCTTATGCTTTAATGACGATATTACATACCATTATCAATACACCTTAAGGCAAACAAGAAATTACTTTTGTATTAGGAAAGTTTGAGAATATGGTACATAAAATCCTAGCCTTCCTTAGGTTGGATAAAATTCCTGGTTTAATAGAAACTTGTGTATACAGTAATCCAAAGTGGATTTGTTGTAAATATAAAAGTATATCATAAATTTTTAGGCAATTATTATTGCAGCTCTTCAAGAATTACTTTGCAAGTTGTATGTTAATCTTCCACAAATTTTGGTTCTGCTGGTGATTTGTACATCTTTTGGGTGTTCTGGTCTGCCCAGTGGCACTTAGTCTATGGCAGCATATTTACTTAATTTTTGTCCTCAAGTTCATAAAATGGACAGGTCCTAACCAACATGTCTGTTTATACTCTTCTCTTTACTCGGTGTGTAAATGAGTTCTTCAAAATTGTATATCTCGCATTCCTTTGGTATTCTTGGTAATGTTATACAGACCCACACTTAGTCGTGGCCTGTACACACTTGGTTGTGGCCTCATACATCCCCCACACACTTGGTCATGGCCCCAGACATCCCCACACACTTGGTCATGGCCCTGTGGCCCCATATATCCCCACACACTTGGTCGTGGCCCCATACATCCCCAGACACTTGGTCGTGGCTCCATACATCCCCACACACTTGGTCATGGCCCCAACATCCCCACACACTTGGTCGTGGTCAAGGTATACAGTCTCATGTATCCTAATTACACACACAAACTTTGTCCCATCATTATATTCACTCACACTGTCTTGTCAGTGTATAACTATTTATACAAAAGGCAACCATAATAAGAGTAAAGTTTAATACTAAACTTATTTGGGAGGAGACAGTCCGAGAGGGCAAGACTAATATAATTCCATCGTGGTCATATTGACACCCTTCATGGAGACCGACTTCTTCGGCTGTTTAACAGACTAAAGTAATTCATGATAGTTTGGAAATATTTGCTCGATATACATATGTTGAATTACAAAATACAGTAAATATCTTTTGGAAAAAGATATGAATATGAGAGACTTGTATCATATGTGTATGTGCTTGCCATGTGTGTAATTTATTGTGGGTATATAATCATAGTTTTGAGTGACGTGTGATGCTTCATCAATACTCATGTAGTGTAAAAAAAAAAATGGTCATAAATAACCAAAAATTAAATTTACTAATTAAATTATTTGTAAATTTGAATATTGTTGTACAAAATGAAAGTGGCTAATTTACGATACCTCATATAATCCAGTATAAGGCATGGATTTTTAGCTTGCATGTATAACTATATAAGATTATACATTTTTATTAGAGATTATAACAATGTATTAAATAAATAATGGGCCTGTACAATAAAATTTTGAACAATTATAATTTACACATTACAGAAAGATTTATTTTTAACGTAACACGTCTAGAGTAGTCTGTGATATTTCTGGCCTGCAGTATTTTAGTTTCTCATATTTTTTTAATTGTTGGTTGTTTGTTTTTGCTCAAAGTTCAAGAAATTTGTGAATACAGCAATATATTTGTTTTTTGTGGCGTTTTACTGTAATTAGGAACATAATTATGTAACAGTATTGTTTTATTATCTGCATTTGAATTTTAAATTTTCTTTTATCATTCCAGTGTTTTAAAAGAATATTTTAATTAATGCTTATACAAAAAATGCATTTTCCAATCTACATTATAACCATCATTAAGTCATTAATTACTATTTGGTGACGGTTGTTTTGTGGAGACGTGAGTGTGAGGGAGTGTAACAAGCTGCAGTCACTCGCACGCAGTAAACATTGTCTCGTACACTAACCATCACTATGATGTTTACTTATACTGTACAAGTGTATGGAATAACAATGATATTCGTGTAGACTGTAGTTTAGCTTGAATGAACTGCTCACTGGGTTATTCAGAAGAAAATGCATTTATGTATTTTATTTTAGTATTGTTAATATAATGGTCAGGTTAATAATTATAGGAAATTAATAACTATTCATTGAGAAAAAGCTATTTATATTAAATAATATTTTCCCCCTTTTAATTCATGAATTTATGAATGATAATTGTAATTTAAGTATAACTAGAAAGAAGTGAAAGTTATGTCAGAATACATTATAAACCTGTGCATATAAAAATAGTGATACACTTTTGCAAGTGTGAAATAATGGGAAATGATATGGGTGCCATAATTTAAACTAGGAGCAGAAATGTATTAAGAGATCCCCAACTCTCCGGCCATTATGTAACCCCTATGTCTAGTCAAATACTAATGGGCTAACTGTAAATAAAAACATTGTTCGTATATATATTTTTTTTCCCCTTTGATATTTGGTAGATATATATTATATAGTTAAAATACATGTACATATGCAGTGGCATCACCACATAGCAATTCCCTCCAAATATCACATCTCACACTAGAACATTCATGCAAGGTTTGGATTGAAAAGAAACTGGATGCTTGAGAGGGAATTTGTGAAATTTGTATTCTCTTCATAATGTAATTTACATCAAATAGTAGTTCTTATATTTTTGCTAATCTTGCTTTTTAATGTAAATATTATTCTGAATAATGCACTTATATTGTATAAATGTTTTGCTAAGCTCATACAATAAGTTGTCCAAATGAGTTTGAAGTTTTTCAAAGACATCCAGATGTGTGTACTGACCATGGGTTTTTCTTGACAACACACAAAAAATTGTGTGTTGTCTAACTTCTCATTACTCAAGTGTACTGACTTTTGTTCTATCATTGTAGGTGGTGCACACCTTACTGGAGGTGCTTTTACTGAGGCTGGCATCAGTAAGGTCAAGGGTGTCTTCGGTCGTCACACGGGCTGTTGCCAAGTTTTCCCTCGAGCCATAGATTAGCATCTGCAAATCGCTGATTCTGGACCTAGAAGACACAGGTGCTACCTCAACTACCAGGTAAAAGATCCTATACTGCTGCTGGTTGCAGCTTGTGTAGTACCCAAGTGGCAACGTCTTTGTCACCTCCATTATGTCTGTGACATCATAGTCGCTTGTACTCCTGATTGGCTCGTGACCCAGAGGCCTCGCTTCATTGGCACGTTCAGCTCTTGAATATCTCGCCGAATCTCTGATCTCACTGAGTACCCTTCATCCTTTAGCACAAAATGGGTACCATTTTCAGTGATAGTTGTAGGTAAAATGTATTAGTTTCTATCAATATTTGTACTGCATTTCTTTTCATGATTCTCCTCTGGCTAAAATAATCACATCAGCTAAATGGATAGTTACTACACATCACGATCTCTGGTAAGGCTCATATCAACAAATTGATTTTACAATTTGGTTTTAAAAATAAATTGGAAATGAACAGGCTTTTTGCAAGACAAATTACATACTGTACTATGAAATGTGACCTATTTCTGAGATCTTCATATTATCAGTTAGAATTTAGCAGCAAGTGCTCACTCGAGATAATGTTCATAGGCAATTAAAGGTTAAAATTATTTCCTTTATGATCTTGTGCTTTGACTAATTAGTTCTGCCATGCATTTGGAGGCCAAAATGGTATACAAAATACATGAAACGGTTCCCATCATTAAGCAGGTTATGGTTATATAAGTAGAGTGCAATTAGAGTTAAGTCACATAATTAATGTGTGAGATTAGGCAGTAGTGAAAATGTGCTGGAACATGGTATGGAGTAAAAATTTGAACTAGACTGTATTCTGAAAGGAAGTAAAGAATGCATTTCCAAACTACAATATCTTGCAAGGGAGTGCAGAACACCACTGGGATGGAGCAAAAGGAGAGGGAGGGAGGACCATAAATAAAAATCTAATGACTTCTATTCTTTCTCCCTGAGGATTAAAAGGCCTAAGTTCTGGATCTGGAAGTTTCCTCTGACCTCCTTTCTCTCATCCTGTCCATGTGCTGCAGTTGGCTGATAGTCGGCTGATATACTAAATGGGTGAGTGCCAACATCTTTGCTCCTGTATCTGTGCCTCCCTCACTCTAGAGTCCACTGCCATTTGTTTTTGGCCAACCCTGCTGTTACGACCCTGGGTTCATAATTGGTTCTGCTAGGAAACCAGGCTCAAACTAGGGTTCTTTTATATTCATGCAGGGATCAGTCACTTAGGTATTTTGGTAGTGATAGACCCTGACTTTGGGATTATGTGTGGGTTCTTGATCAAGTATATATTAGAACATTGATAGATAGGGTTATGTAAGAGGGATAGTTAATTAATAGTATAACATATATTCAGAGAACTTGTATCCTTGTTTGTTTATGTTCCTGTCTTCCCTGCCAGATGTAGGAATAACCTTGTTGCTCACAGAGCTGGTAGACTATGTTAATTGAATATTAATATAATATAAAGCTAGATGTCTGCTATACTTATAACTGTTAAAGTAGCAAGTAAAGGTGTGTCTTGGAAGATTTGTAATGATTGTTACTGTATGATCAGTTGAGTATCCTTGAGGCAGTGATCATAGAGGGCTTAGAGAGTTCTTAGTGTTCTTCTCTGCTGGATTCTGACACGCAAAGGTCATGTGACCTGAGGCTGTTACCACCTTCTCATCATCCTCTTTTCTCTCTCCTTATTCTGTGTTTACCAAATTAAGTACCATGCCGTAGATTACTGTGCCACCATAGTTTTAAGGTATTTGTCTGTATTCTCTAAGCCAGTATTTTGTGCCCCAAGCATTTTATATAGGTATTAGCTGGTATTAACTCTGGGGTGGCTAAGAGAAACCACGTGTGCATATGTTTACAGTGATACCAGTGTGTGTTCTGTCCCTTCAGGAAAGTAGACTTCAACAATAGTTTGTTGTTTGTAATCCTTGTCTCCTGTCTATGGGTTCAAGGGGTTAACGTAAGTTCGAGTTGGTAAAGTATTTGTTATATTTTGGGGGTTATTAAGAGTTAATAAATAATAACTAAGGTTGTAATCAGAGTATCCTTTTACCCTGGATGTAGTGGGGGAAGGTATCTCTCTAGACTGCAGACTTTTTAGGTCAAATATTATTTGCTGGGAATTGTCTTCCCTGGGGGCCGGGCCGGGCCTAACCTAACTCCACTGTTTTAGGAACTCTCTTTTGACCTCAGCTATTGGCCCCTCACAGAGCAAGCACTAGTTCATTCATAACACCTGTTTTCTCAAACACACTGCTGCCACTTCCATCCCTTGCAGAACTTTTATGTGAATTTGTATGCTCCCCCATCAGTTGCTTCTCGTGTCGTGTCAATGTTCATTTATGATTGTAGTTGATATTTGTAGTGCCCACATAGTTCTAGTCTCATCCTGTTATCAAAATCCAATACTTTACTGGCCAGTTATCTTAAACAGGTACAAGACCATCAAATTTTGCTTGGTGCCCAGCCATGTTAGCATTTCTTGTATTGAACTTGTGGATGCTGCTGCTTAGGAAGCTATTCAAGCCAGTTCCATTTTAAAAAATGGATTCCTTATCCAGATTTGTCACTCATGAATCCACAACTGTTACATAGTCAGTTAATTAAGAAACTAACTACATAATGATAATAAATACAAGCTATCCCTATGGCCTTCATCCTACCACTTTAATTGATGGGAAAACTGCTCGGGTGCATGTTGGCCCCACATGCTTAACTCGGTGAAACAAAGACCTACTCCTTACTTCCCAAACCATATTGTTCCACTATGTAGCACACTACTCTGTAGAATACTGTATCATGTAGTGTGTTTGGATCTCAAATGTTATCGTAAATGACTTGGTAACCATTATCATGCATGACTACATACAGGAGTTTAGGGGACTTGTTTTTCAGAAATTTAAGTTTGTCATTTTTTAAGTGAGCATTGCTAATGAATGATGTATGTGGTATGACAACCAACAAATACAACAGCTATGTTACTAGCTAGCCAAAACAAGTAGGTGGAGATTTTTCAGCTATGACAGACAAAAGTATTGAAGGTAGCCGTATCTTAACATGATCTAGCCTTTTCTAAATATACATGGCTAACACAATCTTAAGAGAGAGGCGAGGAGATTACCCCTTAAATAATCTCCAATATTTTTTTCCATGAGGTAAGTGACATACGTCATCATACAGCACAATTACTTTCAAGTGTAACATTATAAGAGTGCACCAAGTGATGCTGACAATGATGTATAGAAACTTCAAGATAAGAGTTGCCTTTATTTGTAATGTTTTGCCAGAGAGGATTTTCTCAGAGAAACACAGGGCTAGTGCTTATAAAGCGTGGAGAGCGAGGCAAGCCACCAGTATGAGACATAAATTTAAAAACAAAGGAAAATCAATTGTACTGTAATTGTATTTTTGCCTCTCCTACATCCTCTCACCCATTACAAGCACTAGCTATGTTAATTTGATAGGTCTGATAAAGCAGTTACAGGTAACTATAATCTACAAATTTATTGTACGCTTGGTATTTCACCAAGTCTAACATTATTTGTTCTCTCCATATATCCTAGCTATTAAAGGTTTCTTCACATCTTTGGTCTATGCTATTTCCAGCACATGAGAAGAGTACTGTTCAATGAAAACATTAGGAGATAAAAATAGATATACAATGTGGAATGTGAGCTGATACTGAAGATTATGATGAGCAACAGTACAGTAGCTAGGAGAGCAGCTATCATCTCTCATGTCCCCAAGCTAGTTAGTACTTTAACTGCATTCTTCCATTTATATATTTCCTAATTACAGTCTAACAAACTTAATAATGCACAAGTACTAACTGTACTTTTCTGTAAGCTGTAGGATATATAACCTTTTACAAATTTTGTTAGTGTAAAGAAGAGACCTTCAGTTTTTTACAATTTCTAAATATATTTTAATTTTTCCAAGCATATATATATACAATATATTAGTAACATGAGCCATCAGTCCAACCATCCCTCCACCTCTGATTAATTAAATTACAATCAAATAATGGCTTTTCCAGCTTCCTATTGACTTCATTGTGGGCTTCACAGAACCACTGCGATAAGCTGGAGCGAGACTCTACAGCTGGAGAGTGCGTCTTCAACCTGAAAAATATTGATAATTCAAATGCAAGTAGCTGCTTCTGTGACATGTTCTACCATCTTAAGCACTAGAACCTATGCTCTCTTTGGAGTCTTAACCCACAAAACCACTTTCACTACACTTCAGCATAAAGGTAAACCAAACTTGTTAAATGAAAAAAACTGTAGTGGGGAGAGAGGGATGCCAAGTAGTGAAGTACCTTGCTTTTGTTGCCCATTTTTTACAATTTTACTTGTCTTTTGTACAGCAATGTTATCAGTTATTGGTAGGGAAGTGACTTAACATTTTCTTTTCAACACATCTCAGAAACTATAGGCAGACAAGGAGTCACAATAATGTGGCTGAAATATGTTGAAGGGACGAAACGACGTTTCAGTTCGTCCTGGTCCATTCTCCAGAATGGTCCAGGACGGACCGAAACATCGTCGTCCCTTCACTTTCTAGTGTGTGGTTTGGTCAACATAGAAAACTATAGCATAAAGGTATACTTCACTTAACTACATATTTTGGTTTCTTTGCCTAATTAAATGAAGATATTAATGGACCATACAAGGTTGGGGGGGATGAAGGAACTAGATGGAAAATTTGCATTTATTCTTAAAGCACGAATATCTCAATTAAGCAAGAGTTTCATATAATGGGAGATGGAGTGGTATGTAAAGTCTAGCTTTTGTTATTAATCTAAATGTTTTTCTTAGTTTTAAAATACCAGTATTATTTTCCTTAATTTTGAAGTTTCATTTGTAAATGTTCGCAGGTATGATCCACACACCAGAAGAAGAGACGACGACGTTTTGGTTTGTCCTGGACCATTATCAAGTCGATTGTGATGGGAGCGAGGGAGGCACGGGCATTAAGTAAGGCAAGAGGTGAGGAAGGTAAGAACAAGGTGAAAGGTATGGATGGGATAGGTGTAATAATGGGAATAAGAATGTGAACGTTAAGAATGAGGAGAGAGGAAAAAGGATGGGTAGGCTTATGTTAGGTCATGTTTGTTAGAAGGGTTAGAGCATTTGAGTATGTACGGTGAAATGGAAGGGTCAAGAGCAACAAAACCAGAACTAAGGTTCATGTTGGGTATGTTTTGTATCAGAGCTGATTCGACAAGATGGCATTTGTGAATAGTAGTGGCAGGAGAGATTATTTTAGAAGAATACCAACCAATAGGATGATTAGAATCCCTAACATGACAGAAGAGAGCAGTATGTGTAGACTTAACACTTTTGTGTGTTTCTCAAGTCTACAGACACAATGCTCTCTTCTGTCATGTTAGGGATTTTAATCATCCTATTGATTGGTATTCTTCTAAAATAATCTTTCCTGCCACTACTACTCACAAATGCCATCTTGTCGAATCAGCTCTGATACAAAACATACCCAACATGAACCTTAGTTCTGGCTTTGTTACTGTTGCCCCTTCCATTTCACCGTACATACTCAAATGCTCTAACCCTTCTAACAAACATGACCTAACATAAGCCTACCCATCCTTTTTCCTCTCTCCTCATTCTTAACGTTCACATTCTTATTCCCATTATTACACCTATCCCATCCATACCTTTCACCTTGTTCTTCCCTTCCTCCTCACCTTCTGGTGTGTGGTTTAGTTTTTGTATCTTCAGCCACATTATTGTGACTCATCGTTTGCAAGTACCTGTATGTTAAATTGAGCTTTAGTAAATGTTTATGCCTTGTGTGTAAGGTTTTCCCCACACATTTTCATGAGGGTAGGGTATCTGCACCTCAGGAGGACAGAGAGGGGCATAGACTCCGCAGACAGAGGGTGTGCTTATGAGGTGCCCAACATGAGGTTATTTACCTCAGTTATATCAGGGTACTTGAGTACCCTCGTCCATCTGGTGAGTGAAATTATTCCTTGGTGGTGTATTGTCCCATTTTCTAAGGAATAACTTCACTTACCAGATGGATGAGGGTACTCAAGTACCTTGATATAACTGAAGTAACCTCATGTTGGGCACCTCATAAGCACACTTCACACACCCTCTGTCTGCGGAGTCTATGCCCCTCTCTGTCCTCCTGAGGTGCAGATACCCTACCCTCATGAAAATGTGTGGGGAAAACCTTACACACAAGGTATAAACATTTACTAAAGCTCAATTTAACATACAGGTACTTGCAAACGATGAGTCACAATAATGTGGCTGAAGATACAAAAACTAAACCACACACCAGAAGGTGAGGAGGAAGGGAAGAACAAGGTGAAAGGTATGGATCAGATAGGTATAATAAAGGAGGTAATAATGGGAATGTTAAGAATGAGAAAAAGGATGGGTAAGCTTATGTTAGGTCATGTTTGTTAGAAAGGTTAGAACATTAGAGTATGTACTGTGAAAGGGAAAGAGTCAACAGCATCAAATTCAGGACTAAGGTTCATGTTGGGTATCAACTGATTCAACAAGATGGCATCTGTAAAGAGTAGAGGCAGGAAACATTATTTTAGAAGACTAATCATGGTATTGATTAGTCTTCTAAAATAATCTTTCCTGCCTCTACTCTTCACAGATGTCATCTTGTTGAATCAGCTCCGATACACAACATACCCAACATGAACCTTAGTCTTGGGTTTGTTGACTCTTCCCTTCCACTGTACGTACTTAAATGATCCAATCTTCTTAACAATTGTGACCTGACTTATGCCTACTCCTCTTTTCTTCCCCTTGTCTTATTCTTACCTTTCCCATTATTACACTCATCCCATTCACCTTGGGAAAGGGGGGAGGGGGGTCAGCAGTGCCAACCCCCTGCCCTTCCTCCACCCAATAGATTGAGACTGAGGGCAGCAGAGGTAATTCAGTGGGTCGAGAGTGGATTGCACAAACTGTGAAGTGGATAAAAGAAGCCAATTTAAATTAGAGGTAGGACAAAGGGACACCATGGAATTCATATCAATACCTCTATTGCATGAAACGACAATGTCTCAAAAGTATTTTTCACTTTTTCCATTAACCACTGTGCTGCACCAACCGAAAAATCTCGTTCTAAGAGTTGTACTATTTTTTAATTATATTAAATTATGCTTTTTTTTAATGTTTTCATCACTCTTTGTGTTTTGAAATAAAAATAGTTGAGTTTGGAAACATTTTGACATTAACTTTACCTTAACATTTATAAAAACAACAAAAATGTCCTTAACGATTGCCCTAAAAAATTTTTTGCCAAAAACAGGTGCGCAGTGCAGGGGTTAATCGTTATAACAAGATGAGCAAAATACTTACCATTCTCTAAGATCTTCAGCACAAGGTTGACAAGGGTAGAACTTGGAGAAGAGGGAAATAAAAGTTTTCATATCATCTTGCTCCTGGGAAGTAGGCTGGGTGGGATAGTAAGCTGCCATCGAGTGCAATAGTCGCCAAGACCCTCGACCCAGAGATATACTATCTGCTGGACACCCATATTTAGCTGCATTTCCTGTGACAAATTTAATAAAATGTCCATTAAACTATTCACTAAAGTGGAGAGTATAGATTTGAATTAAATTATAACCTTTAAGAAAACGTGTCATAAAAGTACAGTTAAGCTTTTTTCACTTAAACAGACATGCTGCACATCTGGACTTTGAGAGACACTTGTATTGATTGCTTCCAGTCAACTTTACTCTGAACATGTTCTAAACTTCCATTTTTTACGAATTTTGTTTACTAAGTTAAAAAATTATGATTGTCTTATAAATAAAAGATGCTAGCTTTCAAATACAACTGCAGTCATTTTTATGGTATCATTGGAAAGACCAAGAAAACATATGCAATATTACAGAGGAAACCACTAAATTATGTTTCCTAATAAACAAAAAATCATGAATCTGGTGGGTTTTTTTTCCTTACACAGTACCCCCAAAATTCTATCTTCATTAAAAGACAAAATGTTTCATAAAGTTATCTAATATTATAATGCCTGCCAATTTGATTTATAAAAAAAAATTCAAAATCCTATGGGAAAACTAAGGGCTTGCATAAAAAGAAAAAATATTTTGAATTCTTCTGCCAAAATTGCAAGGTCACAACTCAATCTTAAGTTAATATAAAACTTACTTTGCAAATACATTGATGATGTATTTAATATGAGTTTTATGTTTTCATTGCAAAGAACACTAATCATACTAGTTGGCAACACCATTACTGTAAGATTTTCTTGCGGCTAAACAATCTAAATAAAATAAAATACTAGCAGTTCTTAAGAGTTAGCTTTATTTGAAAGAAATCAAAGCTTTGAGAAAATCCACAGAAGCTGTGACGAGGATTCAAACCTGTGCGCCGGGTATTCCCAGCAGCACACTAGAGACCCCAGTGCACAGGTTCGAATCCTCATCACGAAAATGTGATTTCTCTGAATCTAGGCTTTAATATGGCAATATAAGAAGACAAAATATCAGAAATAATGACTTAGTCCTCAAGACATAACTGTGTCTGAAACAAGGAACAAATATAATAAAATGATCAATGATGGACTTCATCCACAGGAGACACCTTATTAGATTGCCTGAGGGCAGTAATATACTGAGAACTGCAGCAAAATTTAGAAGACCTGAGAAAGTGAAATTCACACTAGTCATTCCATCTATCATCCTATTATTATGCAGGAAGAGCAATGTATTTTAAGTGTCATCCAATAAGTCAACAGACTTCTAGATGTTATTACTGCTAGGCTTAGGCTCAGCTACAAGTACTTCTGTGAGTTCGCACCACCTGCTGAAGTACTCGCCTAGTTGTACTTGTGCGGGATTGAGCTTCGGCCCTTTGGTCCTACCTATAGATCATCAATCAACTGATGTGCAGGTTCCTGGGCCTACTGGACTCTTATATCATATCTACATTTTGAAGCTGTGTATAGTCTGCCTCCACCATATCACTTCCTATTATATTTCAATTGTTAACTGACCAAAATAAACTGTCAAAGGAACTATTCACATATCACTATGTAATTGAAAGCGGACAAATTTCAGAATTCAGAGATTGTTACAAATGGTAGTGTAATTATTTCAATCAAAATTATGTACTATCAGAACTCTTTGTATATTTGATGTTTGCTTATTGTAGGTAATAAATGCATGATTGTAACCTTTCCACCACTGCCCATTGGATGGGTGTTGGGTGGATGATTAATGTAATTGGCTCACCACAGATGTAAATTGCTTGGCTTAGAGACTGCTGTGACCCAGTTCTTTAAACAATTGTGATATAAGACTATTGAAATACTGTACACATTAAACTGGCTTATCAAGATTGTTACTTGTACTGCTAAATGAATTTTGGGGTTTAGTTGTCGAGCCAATTATGTGCCTTTGTAACCTTTTCCACTACTGGCTGTGGGATGGGTATGGGGTGCATAAATGAACAAAATCATAAATTAGAATTGACTCTGGGCCACTTAACCACTGCACTGCGCAAAGCGCCTTTAGGCGCTCTGAGATTTGTGCTTTTTGTTTTTTAATTAGGCTATATTTTAATACTTTTAAATGTTTTCATTACTCTTTGTGTTTTGAAATGGAAATAGTTGACTTTGGAAACATTTTGACATTAACTTTACCTGAACAATTATAAAAATAACAAAAATATATCCTTGAGAATTGCACCAAGACATTTTTGCCGAAAATGGGTGAGCAGTGCAGGGGTTAAATTATACCGTCTAATAATAACAGTGAGAAATATGATTTCTAGTAATAAAAATCAGGCCTTCCTTATACAACTTTTAAACAAATAATTTATTCCGTAAATGAGGGACTTGTTTGTGTATGACAAAAACTTTAGCACTAATGCACACAGCTTTCCAGATGACAATCAATTTAACAAGTACTATACAAAAACTAGATATGATTTATCATGATACAGTATATCACATGCAACAACATGTTAACAGAATGTAAGTTTAAAATAATATATACAGTAGGCCTACTGTATTAAAAATTGTGACAAAAGACAGAACTGTATACTGTATATATGAAGTGCTCCTCTGAGCAAGGCACTCAGCTGCTCCATTAGGTATGGCCCTGTGCACAGAGAAGTATGACAAAAAGTAGTAACACAGTACCTTGCTCAGAAAGAAGCTTTTCATTTACACTAAAAGCCTTATTTCTGATTGGTACCACTTGGTTGCTCCCATATGCTATGCTAGTATGGTGCATGCGCACAAACACACACTGCCCAAACTATACATGATGTCCATGGGACCAGCATGATTTGTATATAGAAACAACCAAGTGCCATGATCAGAAAGACATTTTTCATATTTAGTACACTCAAAGGGTGATTTTTAAAGTTGAATGGCATGACTGCCAAGTGTACTGTACTATGATTTTATGCAGACAGTATGGATGTAAACAGAGGCAGGAAATGCCAGGATAGAAATTGTAGTCATTCATTCAAACAGGGCTTGCGGAAATTAGTTGTCGGGGGCCCATAAAAAGTTAGTGTGTGTTTAAATGCATGCTTACCCCAAAGTAAAGGTTGAAATTCCTCTTCATCTGTTGATACCTTACTGCCTTCTGCAGTTCTCTCTGCTGATGCCTGGCTTGAGCTGCCCTCCTCACTGTTGTGTGCTGCATTACTAGACTCTCGCTCACAAGTCTCCTCTTTCTCAGACACCCTCCCATAGGTACTTGCTGTAGATTCACTCTTAATCTGCTTGGCAAACATGAAAAATAAAACTAATTACAAATAGCTAAATACATTTCATATCATTACCCCACTTTCACAGAATGTTAAGACATTAGCCCAGTTTCATTACAATTTATCAATAAGCCTAATGAATACTGGCTGAAAGGCAATGCAGCACTGAATGTACAAATGACTACTGTACCAGAGATGATTAGGAGCCTAGAGCTTACCACCCCCTGTGAGCACTAATGGTAAATACAGAATAAATAATCAGTTAGATTTCTTTCAAATAAAGCTCAAAAAAGGTAATAATCTAGGCTTTGAGAAAATCCACAGAAGCCGTGATGAGGAACCAGGAATTAGAGCAGTTAACTTCAAGCAAAGTCAACAAAGTATCACTGGTTCATTGTGTTTACACACACATTTACCCGAGGGGCCACTAATACTAGTGGCCTAGATGAGGACAGGATGCCAGCAGCTTGTGAAAGCTCCCCTCATTTGCTCTGATGATCTTTTCCAGTTGTATTTTAAAACCCAACAGTTTTGGCATTTATGGCTTTGGCAGGTAGGCCATTCAATGGGTTTATAGCCACATGGGTAAAAAAGCATCTCCTGTTTTCAGTCCTACATTGTGGCAGGTTGAGTTTAAAACCATTGCTCCTCGTTTGTGTTACATCTGACCTTGAAGAAATTGTCAGGATCAACATCCTCCAAGTTGTTCAATATTTTAAGTTTCAATGAGATCTGCCCTGTCATGCCTGGTTTGCAATGTTGTTAGCCCTGTGGCCCCTCAACCGTTCCTGATATTAAAGATGACTTGGCTCTGAAATTATTTTTGTTGCCTGGTGTTGCACCTTCTCCAAAGCAGCTATACTGTATGTCTTTCTAAAGATGAGGTCTCCATGCTTGGATGCAAAATCCAGGTGGGTACACACCTGAGACTTGTATAATTGAATGACTACTTTCTTTCCCTTAAAGGTCAAGGTACACTTGATTATTCCTAGGGTTTAACAATATATAAAAATTTGTAGAAACTTGTTATAAATAAAACCCTCTAATCTAATCTCTTTAGTAATAATAATTTATTAAACAAATTTCATAGGGTATGATTACATTGTGTATTTTGCATGTACTGTACTGGATTTATAATTGTTAACGTTAACATTCCAACCCATCAGTGCCTTCCCCACCTAAACATCTTGGGCATGTCAGTCCTTTTCAGCGACTGTCTTTCCCTCAGCTAGAACGCAGGGTAAACCAACCATGAAGATGTAGGGCCACATCATACCATTTAAATACCAGGACAAGTATTTAGATTATAAAGTGTCTTCCAGAAAACAAATGCTTCACTTATCTTAAAAAATCATGATTTAAAAATGAGGACTAATGAAATTACTTTACAATGAAGAAATTTCATATTCTTGATACATCATTTGGAGTACATCTTTAACATTTAAGGTCTTGGTTGCAAGGGTGCAAGTTATATCTTAGTGACAGGGAAATTAATGTGTGCATTGAAAATCGGGTAGGAAGTGTTGGCTCTTAATAGCATACTCAAGAATCTTCCTCTTCCATATCCCACGGAACTGCTTACCTGCCCAAGCCATAAATGCCAAAATTGTTAAACTTTAAAATCCAGCTTAAAAATATCATCGGGCAATGGGGGGACCTTTGACAAGCCAACAGCTTCCTGTCCTCATCGAGGTCACTAGTGTGTTATTGACCCTCCAGTAAATTTAGGGAAATATTGTACTGTACTCATAATGACCTTACTCCAAGCCAGATGGCAGCTTTCCCCAAGAAACAATAAATTTTTTTTTTTTTTTTTTTTTTTTTTTTTTTTTTTTTTTTTTTTTTTTTTTTTTGAGATATATACAAGAGTTGTTACATTCTTGTACAGCCACTAGTACGCGTAGCGTTTCAGGCAGGTCCCTGGAATACGACCCCCCGCCGCGAAGAATCGTTTTTTCATCCAAGTACACATTTTATACTGTTGCGTTAAACAGAGGCTACAGTTAAGGAATTGCGCCCAATAAATCCTCCCCGGCCAGAATACGAACCCATGACATAGCGCTCGCGGAACGCCAGGCGAGTGTCTTACCACTACACCACGGAGACTGTGCGACTTGATTTTTAAACACCCACAGCCACTGAACAATCTTTAAAAAAAAAAATTAATGCTACAGTGTTTAATTTCACAGAAAATATATTACTGTACAACTTTCCACAACAGCTTCAAAAGACAGCATTAAATGTAATGAAATGCCTCTTCCTGGTAGAGCCTCGGTGGCTCCCTGAAGCTCTCAGCAAGCTATCTTGCTGAGAGCGCTCCATACTATTGGGAGTTCTATTTGGCCTACCATGGACCAAAGTCAGATGTGACCTCCCTCACAGAGGCACAGGGAGCGAGTGACAATCTCCCAACTCACCCACAAAGACAGCGAAGCTTTCCAGACACCTAGAAGTTTCACAGAAAATGAAGCCTTGAGACTGCCTAATAACTCCATAAACAATTCAAACAAAACAAATAGATTCACTCAAAACTAGCTCAAGCTCTTTAATACTGATAGCCACGACCAGATGCCTCAGCCCCAGACTGCAGCTGGCTCCCCTGATCAGTTCTGGAGCTGATGAACAACCCAGTAACCAACCTGGAGGGAAGGGCAGGAATAAAGGCACTAACAGGGCACTACCAGAAAGTGGCATTTCATTATATTCAATGATGGGTTTCTGGGGTATCCCCAAGTGGCTCCCTGGAGCTAACCAACCACAGAGAATGAGAACAAAGGACTTACCAGGGAGGAAGAGAGGCAGCATGTACTAATAAGACAAAGGAATGACTTCAGGCCAGGAGACAGCCAAAATGGTATGGACAAACTACCAAAATTACACGACTCAATTAGCAGTACAGTACCTTGATCTGCAACTAATCCAAATTGCCAAGTTGTTGACTTATTCTCACCTTGGAGCAGTTCTGTACCCCTTTCCACTCATGTCCCAGCTAACGCTAAAGGATTAACTAAGGAGTTGTCAGAGGTGGTACTATGACTTCCCGTCAAACCAATGGGCCATACCTCTAGGCTTCCGCTGGCCAATGGCCAACTAGGCCAACAGAGATGTGATTTTCCCATGTGGCCTGGCGCCTTGGAAAACTGAGTCAGTAATGACAATTTATCCCCGTTTTGCCATGTCGTAAACACTTGAGGGGAAGGAGAAGAAACGAGGAGGTCGACCATGCATTTCAGGAGGTTGGCCTCCAGAGGTCGGTCCAATACTGGCCTCCAGAGGTCGGTCCAATACTGGCCTCCAGGGAGGTAAAGCGGTCGGACGAGTATTACTCAATACCACATACGGACCCACTGCCAAACAGAAATGAAACTTCATGTGTATGACAAGACACATCTGGGAAAAAAAGAGGGAAGAGCCAGAGAGGAGGGAGAGAGAGTGAATGGGAGAATGAGGGAAGACAAAGGGGAGAATGAGAGGAGAATAGGGAGAAATTCATCTAATGCTATGTTACACTCAAGTGTTAGGCCCTATCACATATGGGAGATTTATTGTGCCCCCAAATATTCAACATTTCTAAACATTCCATGTGGAAATCATTCAGCACTAGAGATCTCAGGCAGCTGCTTGCCATATTGGAAAACATCCCAAAAGACTTAGTTGCCTTTCTGGTGATCATTTTGGTATCAAGTTAGATACATCACCAACCATTTACTAATGTCCATGATAGGAACAAATGATGCCATGCAAAATTTCATGGACTTGTGTACAGTACCTGGAAGATATTAGTGATGAGGAGAAAAACAATAATTATAATTCATTATGTCAGGGGACAGGAAGCCAGAGTACACTGATACACGTTAGTCTCAAATCGAGGTATCGAGGCACCCTCCCCCCCCCTTCCAGGTTGAATTGCTGACCCCGCCCAGAAGCAACCCCACAACAAGCTGACTAACTTCTGGGTACCTACTTAATGCTAGGTGAAATGGGCCATTAGGTGAAAGGAAATGTGCCCAACCATTTCTGTCCTGCCCGGGATTCGAACCTGAAATTCTCAATTGTATATCGAGAACGAACCTGACTGTACTACTGGGACCCTTAATATTGTAAATCTATTACAAATACAGTAGTTAACGTGAAACCAGCACTCATAGCATTTCAGGCAGGTGCTTAATCCTAATTTTTTCCTGGAATATGACTCCCCCAAATCGTTTAACCACCAGGTACCCATTCACTGCTGGGTGAACAGAGGCTACAGTTAAGGACTGGCGGCCAGTCAATCCTCCGCGACTAAGATATGAACCCAGGGCAAAGACCTCACGATGCACTGGGCGAGTGTTTTACCACTGTGCCACAGGAACTTCTTCATTACATACGTAGTACCTAAATACTGCCATACCCCATCAGACTAAATCAAATGCAGTAAAAATTCATACATTGATTATGGATTAAACTGTACTGCGTCCTATTTGTTCCTCCTGGACTATGGACGGTCAAGGTTGTGCCACCCCTGGGGCATCCCCCGAGATGTCCCCTGGGGTGTCCCCTGGGTGTCCCCTGGGGTGTCCCCTGGGGTGTCCCCCCCCCCACACCTGGGGCCACGACAGCATACCTTACCCAGCTTGTCGGCTGCAGCTGGCCTCTGGCTGGCCATCCAGGACTTGAAGTCTGTGCAGGCCCGACACGTCGCCTGGAAGACGCCGGCCGACGCCGACTCCGACGCCCCAGGCCTTGACGACGCCATCACCACCACTACGCAGGAGGTACAGGGAGGTACACAAGAGGTACAGGGAGGTACAGGAGGACGCAGGTAATGAGGCAAGTGAGGAGGGTGAGCAGGGAGCCTCACACCTCACACCCAGCGAGCCGCCGTCAGCTGGTCACACTATGATGCAATATAAACATTATTTACTCATTACACATTATATACTCCTATACAAGTCTTATATTAAATGCTCACTTTCTTATATAATTTATTTGGGTAAATATGCTTATACTTAAATAAGAACAAGAAAGTGAGCCGGTGTTATGTTTATGTAAGTTTGAATTATTGTTAGGCTCGTAATCCCTGGTGCCATAGTAATTACCTAAGTGTAGTTATTCGAACCCTGGTGTCCGAAATAGTAAAAATATTAGTGTGCGATGTGATCAATGTAAGGGGGATATTGGGTGTGCCTCGTATCCCCTACAACAACAAGAAGTTCGAGAGCGATGAGGCCGCCACCTACTAGCTTCAGGATGTCGTCGAATCTAAATCAACAATATACTACCGCCGCTACTTTCTCGGAAACGTAAGTACCTGCCGCTTTACTTCTCTCACCCTGCCTAGCCTGGCCTAGCCAGACCTGACCAGACCTGACCTGGCCTAGCCTTACCTAGCCTTACCTAGCCTTACCTAGCCTAGTCTGACCTGACCTGGCCTAGCCTTACCCAACACTAATCACCACACGTGACAGCCCAAACGAATCGCAAATAAGTACACGTAACAAGTCATATGCCCGGACACTCTTTCACCTTGGGGACTGAGTGGTAACTATTGTATAGAAGAGCCGGCTCCCTGAGAGTGGTAAGAGGGCGTGATAAGAGGCTAACGTGTGGTCTTGAAGGAAGTCGATAAAGCAGACAATTTTCAAAAGGAAGGGCAGCATAACGAGCAGACAGGAATGGACAGACAGTCGGTTATCCCATAATGTGTAATACGCCCCGCACAGCATGGGTGGAGTGGGGGGGGGGGTTGTAGCAGGGCACAGTATGGTGATGGTGCGGGTGAAGTACACACCCACTGAATTCCTGCCATCAATAATTGTTTTCATAACCATTAGAACAATGGCATCCCTCCAGCCACCATCCTTCCACTGACCCCCTCCTCTGGTCCTCCACCTCAGACAATAACCCCCCACACCCCCTCTCCCTTCCAGACATCAGCATGTCAAAATCAGTACCATAATGTGTTTAAACTATTTAAACTAAGTCATTGTGTATCTCAAGGTATCTTAATTCATTTGAAAGTGTACATGTGCATTCGTTCATATACTCGCCTAATTGTGCTTGCTGGGGTTGAGCTCTGGCTCTTTAGTTCCACCTCTCAACCGTCAATCAACAGGTGTACAGGTTTCTGAGCCTATTGGGCTCTATCATATCTACACTTGAACCTGTGTATGGAGTCAGCCTCCACCACATCACTTACTAATGCATTCCATTAGATATAATCATATATGATTACACATAATCATAATCATTCTATACACATAATCATATATGTGTACGTCAACGTATACATACATGCGTATATATACCTCATATTAAAATACTGATAAACAAATGACCATGAATAAATTAATTTATAATTGTAGCATTATATATAATTTTAATAGACTAATTACGTGTTTATACATTTGAATGGTCCAGACAGGTGGCCAGCCTTGGACATATACACTTCTGGTAGGCACAATGACCTCATGTTAGACCCTTGATAGATTATGTGAGAGAGAGAGAGCTGGGGCAGGGAGGTGCGTGCCCCAGGGAGATAATCCATGCCCATGCCCCGCCTCGAGGTCAGTTCTCGAGTCACACCAAGAATAACAATCGAGCAAGTTGTCCTGACCAGGATGTGGCATATTAGGGAGGGTTGAGGAATAGGAAGCCTGTCTGATAGGGCTCTTGGCAAGCAGCTCTCCCTCAGTCTACCTATCTATATGGAAGAAATGTATCTAGGCCCTCCTCCCCCCTGCCTATTCTCTCTCCCCCACCTTTCTTCCTTCATTTCCTCCCTCCTTCCCTCCCCCTCACTGGTGAGAGAGTAGGAGTGTGAGAGTAGTTAGAGAACTCGTAGTTCTCACGCTCGTGAAATTGTCTGCGACCCTGGAGGAGTAGAGCGGAGGGGGGGTGAAAGTAGGTGACGATGGAGGAGTAGAGGGGAGCATTATATGCAGTGAACGTAGGTGTCTATGGAAGAGTACATCATAGAGGAGGGTGAAAGGAAGGTGACGATGGAGGAGGAGAAGGGAGGGGGTGTGAAGGTAGGTGATAATGGAGGAGTAGAGGGGAGGAGGGGGGCAAAGGTAGGTGTTTATGGAAGAGTACATCATAGAGGGGGGTGAAGGTAGGTGGCGATGGAGTAGAGCAAAAGGGGTGGGAGTTGAAAGTAATCCTGAGTTTAATTTTTTAGTTATATATAGTGACACCTCGGCTTACGAATGAATATTTATGAACTTTTCGGGTTACGAGCCTAATTTCTTCGAAAAATTTGAATCGGGTTACAAACTTTGCCTCGGGAAAGGAGTTTGTTGATATACGTATGGGCTGACCTAGCGCGTGGTGGCATGGTGATCGCGCCTCAGTTTACCAGTGTCTCCTGCCTAGTAAGTATCGCGCCTGAATTCTTTGTAAAGCATTACATTTGTTTTGGGATTTTTGGCTATTTGAACATAAAATTTGTTATGATATATCTTGCCATGAGTCCCAAGAAAGCCAGTGGTAAGGTTCAAGCCAAGAAAACACATGTGAGAATGACCATAGAGGAAAAACAAGAGAGCATTCATAAACATCAAAATGGTGCACAGGTTGTTGAACTAGCTAGGCAGTACAACAAATCTATGTCAACAATATGCACTGTACTTGCTAAGAAAAAGGACATTATGAACATTAAAGTGGCAAAAGGCATATCAACAATCCCGAAACAAAGAACACAAACACTTGAGGATGTTAAAAAGTTTTTATTAATTTGGATACACAACAAGGAGTTAGCAGGTGATAGCATTTCAGAGGCCATCATTTGTGAGAAACCAAGGCATTTGCATGAAGACCTTTTAAAGAAAACCCCTGGAACGAGGGGGGGGGGGGAAAGATGAATCAAGTTTGAAAATGTGAAAAGTTTGTGTGACAATAGAGCCTCGTGGAAAACTTTTGCTGTGGTCATTACCTGGTGGAATGCACCCAGGATGGAGTATTAGGGCTATACATCTTTTAAATCATAAAAGTAATAAACATTTCCCATCAACCTTACAAACAATATTAACCTATTTTCATGTATTTCCCCCATGTGCATTTTAACAAAGTTGCTAAATTGCCTTTATCATTCTGTAAAATTTCAATTACAGTACTGTATGTATAATTTTGTTAGTATAAATGGACTGAATATTCTGAAATTGCTATTAATTTTACAATTTCAGATTCAAAGGTGGTCTGGACATCCAATTTGGTCAGACAGGTGAAGAGAGCATTTAGGATAGTTCGAAGAGATGAAGATGGTCGCAATTGTGTTCGAAGAGGCAAACACCCCCCTTTGCTCCTGACATTATGTTCAACCATTGACCTCTGCACACCTAACACAAGGTAGGTTGAAAACTCCTCCTTCATGTCATTGGTTCATTTGCCAGAAACTTAGGGCCCATGCAGGAATATCCCTAAAAAAAAAAAGTGGCCCCAACAATGCATCCTCCAAGTCTGGAGGATGAGCAGGAGCATTGTCGAGAAGCAGGCCCTTTAGTGTCAAACTTTTCTCTTGCAGATATTTTTTGATGGCAGGGCAAACCACTCTACATCACAGTTTTTCTGCACGTTATATATTTTTTAAAACTCTTGGATTTTCGGAATGATACACGAGCAAGGGTTTAATTTTCAAATCGCCACACAGCACAAGAGTTAGCCTATCCTGACACAAGTTAGCCCAAGTTAGCTTGTGTCCGGGCAGTGACGTCTCCTCTTGGGTAATGTATGTCCTCTTCGGCAATTTTTTCCAGAATAGCCATGTCTTCTCACAATTAAACACTTGTTGTGGAATATATCCATCAATACAGTATCTACAAAATCTTTAAAATCACGAACAAATCTTTCAGCCCCTACTTTGTCTGAGCTGGCACCCTCACCATGCCTCACAACACTATGAATACCACGTCTTTTTTCAAAATTTCTCAAACCATCCCCTACTCACCTTAAACTCTTTCGTATCTGCAAAACTCGTTCTAGGGGTTTTCTTTATAAGATCTTGCATGAAGATTTCATTGTTGACCAAACCACACACTGGAAATTGAATAGACGACGACATTTCGATCCGTCCTGGACCATTATAAAGTCGATTGTGATGAGATGAGGGAAGCAAGAGCATTAAGTAGGCAAGAGAGAGAGGTGAGGAGATGGCAAGTATGTACGTATGTACATGAATAAAACATGTACATACTTATACATAACGTGTGTAAATAGTGTAATAAACACAATAACAGTATTTTGGGAGGAGGAATGTTGGCGAGTAATGTGTTGGAGGAGGGAGGGAGGACTGGCAGGGTGTGGCAGCTCACTCATGTTTTTTGGGCTCACCATACCAACATAGTGGATCGTTATGGTGAATACATACGTAGATGGGTATATACAATGTGTGTATATAGTGTAATAACAGCAAAAACACTGTTTGATTGTAGAATATGTCGCATATATGAGGCCCATAATTTTGAGCATAGCGATGTTCTATACTTTGAATTATATAAATTCCACAAATTACACACTTTTAAATAATATTACAGCAAAAAAAAAGAAGAAATGAATGAGAAACTTCAAAATAATTGCGCAACATTTTATTCGCAGCAACTGCCGTCGCACGGGGTGGCGGGGCCGACAGACCCCCATCGCTCCAACGCTCAGCGCCCATAATTTGCTCAACTTCCCAGCTCCATCGCAGCTAAAGTAAGTCACATACAATATTTTTTGTTTAGTTTCCCCGTGATCAGACTCTGCATTTTAACAATATAAGAAGAGAAAAAAATTTTTTGGAAAGAATTTATTTCTTGTGCACCAGGGTGTTATTTGGAGACAGAGCAGTTCAGTGGTTAACTACTAAATTTTTTTTTCTCCCACACACGCACCCCCCTAGGAAGCAGCCTGTAACAGCTAACTCCCAGATACCTAT